CTCTTTGCTGGTTCACTCCCCAAATGACCACATCTGCTGGAGCCTGAAACTCCACTCAAGTTTCAGATGTAGGGGCAGGAATCAAAGGACTTTCCCAGATGCATTAGCAGGGAGCTTCATTGGAAGTAGAGCAGCAAGGACTTGAATTGGTGCTCTTCAAGAGGTCAGCACTGCAGGCAGTCACTTAAGCTGGTGTGCCACAACACCCAACAAGTTTGCTTTTGAAACAACTGGCTCTGGAAATTACCCAGAGGTCCCATGTAAGCAGCTTTAACATCTTTTAAGAGCAGTTCTTCCAAAGACCAAAACATATCCCATCAGACCCTTCCTCTTAAAGTTTCACATTTCCTGACATTGCCACATGGAATAGCAACACATGAATTGCTCGGGGACAAGCCACAGGCAAACTGTAGCAGAGAGAGGTTAATTTTCTTGTCATTTCTGTCTTGTAGTATTTGTCTGCATTCATTGATTTACGACATTCTCCCATCTTTAAAACCAACAACGGACTGCTTAGTTCCTTTCATATTCCACGATTTTGACTTTCATTCTACGGCCTCCTCTTCCACATTTAAAAGGTCTTGTGATAACATTTGATTCAACTGGACAGCACAGGATACGTTAACAACCTTATTCCATCTGCTACCATTCCCCTTTACCATGTTAGGTAGCAATAATACCACAAAGTCTGGAGGTTAGCAAACAGACTTCAATGGGAGGCCATTTTTCTACACACTACATTGTTTTCTCAGAAATTTTGATAACATGTTAGGAACAAAGTCTGTTACAAGCTTATTACAAACATTTACAGTTTAGAAAAGCAAAGTCAGCAGATTTTTTTTTTAGTTTCCCCAGTAATAATTTGAAAATAATATGCACTTAGAAAATTCATCTCAGCTTTATAATAATGTCCCTCAAAAACTACATATATTCAATTCATAATTTCTCAGCATCTCAATGTCTTCCAATTTCTGCTAACTTAGCTAATTGGAAAACCCCTCTAAGATTCACTATGCAAAGTTAAGGGAATTCACCTATATTTGGTGAGTTGCAAATCCAGACAGGGATGCCCAGATTCCCAGAAAGACTAAAGGAAGGCTTCCCAGACGAGGAGGAGCTCAAAGAAATCAAGGCACTGGTGGCAAAAGATGGACATAGCCGCTCAGAACAAACACAGCAGGTTACACTTCACATTCACAGTCATGCTTGTGGTTCTATTGCTTCATGGCACCAGCTTTAGAATGTCCCTCACTACATCCTTTTGCAAATCAAACATCCTCCTCTCCTTTGTTCTTTTGGACCTTCTATTTGTTCATCTATAATGGACTGGCTATTTTGCCTCTCCTTTTTCCATTTTTTGGATCTAGCATCAGAAAAGTGGTTCCAAATTTATCATTATAATTTTGTCCTTGGCAATCATTTGGTTCTTAGTCACATTTAATCTCAGTGGTGTACTATCCTCCAAACAACTATTTTATGCTGCCTTTGTCTTTAACTCTTCAATATCTCTTCCTCTATTTGCATTCTTGGCTCTGGCCACAGCAGTTCCTTTCCTCCTCCTAAACCACTAGGTATACTTCTGCTGCTGCGCATTTGTACTGAGCTCTTCCACCTAGAAGCTTCTCCACTTGATCTTCAGTCCCTGGGTAACCTCAGGGCACACTTGTTTTGTTGCAGTGTGTGAGCGAGATCATACCAGACATGTGTAAGGTTTATTAAGGAGTCTTTATTAACTAAGATTGGTGATAATACAATAACAGATCACAAGTCCTTATGGCAATCCAACCAACCATAATCCAATGAATCATAATTCCCAAGGGAACAAATGGTCATTATCCTTAAGTCTATCCATTAAGCTGAAAATCTATGTCCCAGCTTCCCCAACAATGTAAGTTATCCTAAGAGACATGCAACGAATAACCTGGACACACTCACAAAGAACCTGGACACACTGACAAAGCTGCAGACATTCACCTTTCCCTGGCTTCTCTGCCCTCATTTTACTACTGCTAGGCCTCACCCCTCCTGGAACTCCAGATAGTACACAAACCAGAAACAACATTATTATAACAATTGGCTCATCTAAGCAGTACACAGGGACCATGCTCAGGGGATTACCTGTCCTGGATCAGCCAAGAGTCGAGGTGCCAGAGTAATGGAAGCACCTGGCCAGAAAGAGAGTGAGCCCCTGCTTCATAGGCCTTTTAAAGGGGCTTGTGAGGGGAGTGGTTACACAACAATACAATACCGTCCCCTCTCAGTTGATAGGTGAGTCACAGGTGGGCAGGAGCGAATACCTAAGTGTTGTGGGCTAAAGAGTTGATTAGTGCTGGTTGGGATGGGCAGGAACAGGAACTGGGCTTGTAGCTAAAAATGCCTAGACTAATTGAATTTGTCTACATCCAATATCCTGGCTAAATTAGGATGTGGGGGAAGTAGTTGAGGATGGAATTATTCCATTGCTGTTAGGACCTACCTTCAAGACAGATAGGGGACACAGCCAAATTTCATTTGCCCACTGTCAATGGGAGCTGGCTATAACTGGCTGCACCTTATAACAGTTTTTTCAGGTCTCGGTTCAAATATCACCTTTAGAGTGGGAACCTTCTCTGAGTATCTTGTATAAAAATTTATCCCACTTCTGTTACCATCTTATTCTGCTTATTTATCTAATGCATTTCTTATCATCTTGTAATTGCAAAAATCAGATCGACTGGTCATGCTGTCAATAACAGGTAGACTGGGATCCTGCCTGTCAAAGATCACTTAACCTAATCTCTCAGGGGCTCCTGCATCCAAGCAAGTAGGCATAGGACAAAGCAGCACTATGTGGCTGGGTGCAGATCTGAAATCTGAGATACAGTCTCAGTGGCTAGAGGGTTCTGTGGCCAAGGGTTAGTCTAAGATCCCAAACTGTACCCATTTCTAATCAAACGGGTTGTATCTGGTCCTAACTGGATCTAGATGGTCATACAGATCAAACTTCAATTACTGTGAATTGGAGAATATCTAGGTGTGTGGGCAAGTACCAGAAGAATATTTGATTGTTGCCAAAGATTCTAACACTGATGATTGCCATGTCATTGTGTAGGCTGCACAGACACAACTGCTCAGGCTACGCTGTTTGCTCAGAAAGTTACATATTCCACCAAGCTATGCTTATAAACACAGTGATTATATCAAGGGATCCCTGTCTAAAAGATTTTTGGTATTCTACTTATTTAATATCTATGCATTCCAAAGATTTGCATCTTCTTTCCCCTAAAAATACATGCTCTTACAAATAACCTCCCTCCCATTGCTAAGTCTTGAGTAAGTGAAATAAGCCTTTAGAAGCACTCCATAACGATGTGGTTAAGAAATAAAGACAGCACCTTCGCATGCATACTGATTGCAATAATTTCCATCCCAAGCAGCTGTGCAGGTCTTCTGGGAGGTCCTGAGACTGTACTCTATGAGAAAGCTGTTCAAAAGGAATACAAACAAAAACACAAGTGGAGATTCTGAACACTTGGGAGCTAAGTACTGCAAGTCAGGCTAGTGAGTTATAGTGCCAGAAATCTGCACTCTCTGGGAGAGGCCTGGGAGGGAAATAGTGGGCTCATCCCTCTTGGGTTACCACTTCCACAGGAGGACATAAAACTAAGCGGCTGGGGTGGAATGGGGTGTGGGACAGACTGGATTACTGCTATACTTACTGGCAAACCAGGGTAGGGGGAAGGCCTGGTGGGGGTTATTGTGGGTCGCTCCAACTAGGCTGCAGCTCCCACTGATTTATGTGAGGGCCAAGTATGTGCTGGGCAGAACCAGGCTGGACTGCAACACCCATTGGTTCCAGTGGAAGCCGGGAGTGAAAACAGAACCAACCCAGCAATTGCAACCACCAGCTGATTGGGGCGATGGACGGTGCCAGGCCCTGTACTTGTTAGCACATACAAGAAGTTTCTTTGGAGATCTTCCTAATCTAAATGCTGGACTCAGAACCCTAACGAAGAAAAGAGAGAAGACAGAATGGGTCAACCAACCATCCCAGCTATGATGGACTATGTCAATCAGTGGATTTTTCAAAGACCTCATAGTGCTTAGAGTGGCAAGATTGACAGTGATTCATAACTATTGCAATATCAAAACCACTTGAGCAAGAACCTCAGAGCATGCCCTACATCCGGGACCTGGGGAGGGTGGGAAATTGGGTGGGCCTTCTCCCTTAATACCCCCCTTTAAACATGAAGCTAACAATATGGAAAACATACTAGTATTATCCACTTCCCTGTAGCCCTTGAACCTTCTTACCCTAATTAACTATGTAAAGATTGTCAAAATAAAAATAAAATTTTACATTAAAAAAAAAAAAAGAAAAAAGAAATCTGCACTCTCAAAATGTGAAAAAACGTCTTGGAGCCAGCAGAGGCTGGCCATCTCAGCTTGGGTTCTGCACAAGCTATTCTGTTGCTTTCTGTATCACCACCTTCTTGCAGCTTGGTGTACACAGCTTCAGATCATATCTACTCCAGCCGTTGCAGACATCTGAGGAGTGAACCAACAGATGGAAGATCTCTCTTTAAATCTGCCTTTCCAATATAAATTAATAAATCTTTTAAAAAAAGAAAAAGAGAAGTTGGAGGAGCTTCCGCTTTCTTCAATCTGACAAAATTAGACCTGAACCCTAAGGTTTTTGTTCAGCATTGTCTAATCCTCCTCCACACACTGGCCCCTCCCACTGTAACTGCAATCCTTTACAAAATAACATGGAGTTTGGAATACCAGCACTATATTGGGTGTCCAGCTTGAGATAAGCAAATGCACCAATGCCAGGAAGTGGAAGGCTGGGCCCCAGAAAATCAGAGTGAGGAAAGGGAGGGAAGGGCAAAACTGACGGGCAGGGGGCGGAGAAGGGAGGAGGGGAGACCAGAGGAAGAGATGCTCTGAAGCCGGAGAGGAGGGGAGGGAAAGAAAAGGAAGCGGGGAGGCGGGGAGAAGCTTCGGGTCCAGGCCACGTGGCCCGCACCGCCCTCCGCTTCCTGTCGCGGTCCTGCCCCATGGCTTCGGTCTCCTCTGTGGCCTTGTCGGCCCGACGGGCCCGGCCCCTGCTGCAGTTCTTGCGGCTGGTGGGGCAGCTCAAGGTGAGCGGGCGCTGGGCCGGGGCGCGGCCGGCGCGCGATACGAGGAAGGCGTATCACCTGCCTTCGCCCTCCCGGCCCCGCGGCCCACACTGGCGGAGGGAGAGGGCAGCGGAGACGGAAGGCCCGGCCCGGAGGGGTCCCATTCCTGGGTGGGCAGTGTCCGGGGCCGCCGTTCCTGAGGCTTCGGGGTACGGCCGGCGCCGAGGTGTGCGCGGCGGCACTCTGGGCTGTTCCTGGCTTACGATCCCACAACAAGAGCGCTGTTAGCCGGCGCTGCCGAGCTGCCGGGGGGGAAGACCAGCCTCCATCGGCCCTGCAGGTGTTAAGCGGAAGCTTGAATTCGGCCCTTCAATTAGTTCCTGAAATCTCAAGGTCCTCCACCCCGGGTTTTATCGAGTTGCATCGCGGAGTGTTCGTGCGCCCTCACCTCCTTTTCTTTGTAGTTGAGAGATCTTCTGTGACTTCATGGGCCCTTTGGAAGTGTAGCTTGCTGAGAACTGGCAGTGAGTGTCCCAAGACCCCTAGGGGCGGAGTCTGGACCAGTGGTTGCCTCAAGCAATGAGAAATGAACGCCCTGAGACCTTCTGCTTAGAAGTTCCATATTTGGCACTTAATCAAGCTCATAGCTCACACCATGGTGTTTTCCTACCCGTATGGAAGAGATTGCAGACAAACGCCAAAGACAGGTTTTGTGTACGAATAAAGGACTTCTGTCTTGGATGTAACTGAACCACTAACACAGGACCTCGATGGTGGTGATTTTGCATGTGTGTTTGTGCACTAGTTCCCTCTCTCTTTTTTCTTTCCTATTGCTAGACCTGCCTCGTGGAAAAAAAATATATCTATATCTATATCTATATATAATTTATTTGAAAGGCAGAGAAACAAGAGCATACTTTTCCACTGTCTAGTTCACTCCCCAGATGATCGGAGCCTGGACCTGTGCTCAGGCCTCCCAAGTCAGCAGCAGGGCCCCAGGCCGTCATCTGCTGCTTGCTTTGCTTCATTCGCAGATGGCTGGATCAGAAGCAGAGAGCCCCACTGGCCCTCTGATGTGGGATGGTGTCGTGCAGGCAGCATCATCATGGACTACCACGACCCTGCCCCTTCCTGGATGGCTCTTGGAGAGCGTTGCAGTTTATTTATAATATTTGGTTTTTCTACATGTCTCTTAATGTTTTTCAGAGGGTCCCACGGACTGGCTGGGTATACAGAAATGTGGAGAAGCCAGAGAGCGTGTCTGATCACATGTACCGGATGGCGGTTATGGCCATGGTGACTCACAATGAACATCTTAATAAGGACCGGTAAGCTGGGTGCTGGGAGGGCCTCTTCAGTGTGGCTGGCATGCACCGCTTCCCATGACTGGGACCTGTGACCTGTGTCACAGTCTTGGATGCTAATATTTCTCAAAAACAAAAACCATAGGGATTCACTGTGTGGCAGTAGGGAACACTGAGTGCTCATTGCTTCGGTGTTGTAAGCTACCCTGTGTTCAGCTGGCAAATGGTAGAAGCTGCCTTGGTCTCAGAGGCAGCCAATGAGGGCTGGGTTCAAATCCTGCCATGCTGTGTAAGCACTGTGTTTTTAGCTGCTTTTAGGAATAGTATCACACAATTAAGAAATGACTTTTTGGAAGTGTATCTCCAAGGTAAAGTTGAAAAGGGTGAGCTTCCCGTTAAAGTCAGTCAACAAGTGTTTACGATGCTTTTTGAGCACAGTGCAGAATTCAGTCACAAATGATTTGCACAGATCAAAAGTGGCTTCCATTTAAATAGTGCAAACTAAGTAATAGTATAGAGTTAGCACGGTGTTCTGCAGCAGGGGAAGATGTCTGCTCCTGGTTGATTTTATTAGGGAGGCAGGGTCCACACACTAGGCTCTCTTGGGCTGACAGAGAGAGAGGGGGAAGGCACAAAATGCAGGGAAGAGGCCAGCCTTAATGGCAGCCAAGTGAAGGAACGTTCTACAAGTGAGAAGTACATCAGTTTGATTGTAACAAAGGATTCATTAAGGTGTCTGAGAAGCCCTCTTGCTCAGCTGAGGAAGTAGAAGTGGGGAAATATTTAGCAAATAGTACAAGGTGAAAGTGAAATCAAATAGAGGCAAATTTAAGGGTAGTCTGAGAGTGCAACAGTTGAGAGAGAGACTGGAGGTAGAGAAGCCTTAAAGGAGGCTGTGCGGCCTGGCACTGTTGGTAATAGACTGGTACAGAGTTAGACTATAAAGCACACTGGCTGCCTGAGAAGAATGGCTCATTAGTGGCCTTTGCTATTTTGATGATGATTATCATAATCACTGATCATTCCTCACTAGTAATCACAGTCATTTGTTGAGTGAGCAACATGTGCCAGGAGCATAAATTTTCAAGTTTAATTTTCACAGTAGCCTCATAAAGCGTTACTAGCCCTGTTTTGCAGATGGTAAAATAAAGGGTGAGAAAAAAATTGGACATTTAAAGAAGTGAACTAATTTGGCAGAGGTCACATAACTGATAAATAGTGGATGCTGGATTCATAACCAGATTTGTCCAAATCTGTCCAGCTCTATAAACAGTCTTGTTCTGGCACCTCCCTAGCAGTTTGGCGAAAGGGATTGTTTCTCAACTTTATATCAGTTAGTAAATGTCTCAGACCATCTCCTGGCTTTGCATGAAGTCATGAACCCTTTATAGGTAGATTTGAGAAATGAGAAATGAGCTATTTTTTTTTAAAAAAATCATACAAACATCCTCCCCTGTGCATTCTTGGGTTGAATACCAACAAGAGGTTTTGGTTCAAGAGGGGTGTAAGATGCTGAATGTAATTACTTCAGAAAATAGTGTGTATTATGTTAACATCAAAAACATTATAGACAAGGAAATGTAGTGAATATGATTCTGTGTAATTTGTTCACCATTTCTTGCTTGGTCAGATGTATCCGCCTAGCCCTGGTTCACGATATGGCAGAGTGCATCGTTGGGGACATAGCACCAGCAGATAACATCCCCAAAGAAGAAAAACATAGGCGAGAAGAGGTCAGTGTTGACTGTTGACTGTGCAGAAGACTGCCAGAATGGCTGAAGCAAACCTGAGAGTGTTAGACCCACTGCAGTAAGGGAGAACTCCACCTGCATGTCTTAGAAGGCTCCTAGCAAAAGGGAGGTCCACACAACAAATTTTTAGTGTTTTAGGGTATGGCCTGGACAGAGTTAAGGTTGATCTTACAAGATAGACAGGTAATGGGATTTTAATGAGTTGAGGACATCTTCGGATTGGTGAGAATAGAGAAGGTCTTAATGAGAAGCTTGCAGAATAAACTGCTCTATTTTGGGTGGTTTGCAGTCATTGTCTTTCAGAAGCAGGGATTTCTTGGAGTAGACAGCAAATTGGTGTTTTCTTGTTCTCAGCCTGTTTGCCACAATAGGAATGACTGTTGCTCTCAGTCTTGTTCAACACAGGAACAAAAATGTGAGTTTCAGTTCTCCTTGGCATGTGGATATTGGAGTATGGCTTTCATTATTAGAACAATGGAAATAGCTTAAGTGAATTTGCAGATTCTTTAAGCTGTTTGGGAAAAACTTTTGTAAATGCCAAATGTAACCATTATTTTCATTTAGTACAATTTAAGGGTTTTTTTTTTTAATTAGTGGTTGGAAATAAAGAATATTTGCATTAATAAGAAATAAGTAGATCAGTAATGTATTTTGTCAGTGTCACTGTGAGCTCTAAGCTCAGAGCCCATGGCCAAAGACAAGGATATTTGAAGCAGAGCCTGGAAAATCACTTTTTATGTTGACCAATGGTTGGTTCCCAGCCCAGGGCTTTGATGAACTGCTTTCATTATAGATGTTAAAGATTACTCTCAATGGGCTGAATAGAGGAGGTGGTCTTTCAGAGCAAGTGAGTCTAAATTGCTGTCCTCAGAGCTTAGGAGGTGGAGCGATCAGTAGCTAAGAGGATTTTTGCTCCTCTAGAAGCAAGAAAGGAGAGACAGAAAGAGAGAAATCTTCCACCTGCTGGTTCACTCCTCAAATGGGTACAGTAACCTGGACTGGACCAAGCCAAAGCCAGGAGCCTGAAAGTTTGTCTAGGTCTCCCATGTGGGTGGCAGGGGCCCAGGCACTTGCGTCAGCCTCTGTTGCGTTTGCAGGTGGTTGTTTCATTCAAGGGTGAACCTAGACGTTGTAGAGGAGAAATCACAGACTGAAGTGTTAGCGGATCATCAGACACATTCAGAGAACAGAGGAAGAGTTAAGACACCTGACCCTCAGGAGTGGGGAGGCATCAGGCGTCTCAGCTTGTCTCTGGTGAGTACAGCTGCTGGAGGAAGCAAGCAGCAAATTAGTGTTTACTTGTACTGGGCTTTGCTTAACACAGTAGAAATATAGGGCTGTCTCAGCCTCATTTAATGCAGGATGGAACCTTCTGGAAAAGAATCAGCGTTAGTGTGAAGGCTCTCCCAACCACCGGGAGGGGCCCAAAGCAGATAGGAACAATCCAAAGGGTGTTGCTGTTTTGCTAGCTGGGATGAAAGCCTTTCTGATGTCCTGAACCCCCCAGGCTGTTGCCCATTCCTGCTGTGCCAAGCAGAAGGGACTGGGGAAGCATCTTTAAAGATCACAGGTTCTTGGATAACACACCAGAAGCTTGGAGAGCACTGATCCTTCATTGCTTCTTACTGCTGTTGGTCAGAGAGGAAGATCCGGGAGGTGGTCTGTTCCCTTTTTTTTTTTTTAAATTAATTACGTTGCATTATGTGACATAGTTTCATAGGCTCTAGGATTCCCCTAACCTCTCCCCGTGCCCTTCCCCCCATGGGGGATTCCTCCACCTTGTTGCAGTATTACAGTTCAAATTCAGTCAAGATTCTTTCTTTGCAAGCATAGAGTCCAGCATCTTATTGTCCAGATAAATTCAATGGTTTCTTGGGGAGACCATCTCTGGTCTGAAAGTAGGGCTGGCACAATATTATCTCGATCAATTGAAAGCCCCAACACAACATCAACAACAATTTACAACATTATGGAATTAATTGACATGGTATTGAGTATTCAATATGTTAAAAAAAAATGCAAGTTCTTAACCACATCCTGTGACTACTTCATTGACATTTCAATTTTAGTTTATATACAGCCAGCTTCTATACACCTTAAAATGGCTATAGGGTACTATTCAGCTGTCTCATGTCTATTTTCATTTTAGTATTTAGCAGTTTATAGTGTTGAAGCATAATTTTGCTGAACTTGGCAGATTTTAGGATAGTCTAAACTGGCTTATAACTAACAAGGCGTTTGTCAGTAGTTGAGGTGCAGAACAGTCTTAGGAGGGGTGTGCAGAGAAATCTTCAATACCCTAGTGAGGAATAACTAATTTTTGTGTCCTGCCTAGTAAGGTATATGTGGATCTGTGCTGACCATTTCCTGTCTGGTTCTAAGCTTTCCTTGTTGTTCTCTATCTATTCTAATTTTTTTCGTTTGCTCTATTTTGCGGGGGGGGGGGGGAGCTGGGGCCCTCCAGAGCAACCCTGATGGTCATTGCAAGAGAGGGTGGGGATCCAAGATTGGAACTAAGTAAGGACCAGAGAAAGCTCCTCTCTCTCATCCCGAACGAAGTTTATTGTTCTTCTGTTTCTGCGGAAGGTGGTCCGTTCTTAATGCAGATGGCATTTATGAACAAGATTTGGATGTCTGAACCATGCATTAAGATAATTAGATGAGGTCTTTTGGCTTAAGGTGGAGTGTGGATACAGAAGCAGGATGTGTCGTTTGCCAGAGGCTGGCAGACTGAGTCAGCAAGGTTGTAAACTGAAGCAGGAAGGGAGAAAAATACTTGGTCAATTAGAAGGCTGATTGTTTGAAAGAGAGTAGGTATTAAGATGAAGAGAAAAAGGAGGACACAGAGGACCCAAAGCAGTATTTGTGGTTTGCTAATATAATATATTTTAATATATAAAAATATAATTCTGTATTATAGTTTAAATTGGTAAATGGTACGTGCTAGAGATCATCAGGTTTTTTTTTTTAAAGATTTATTTATTTTTATTGGAAAGACAGATATACAGAGAGGAGAGACAGAGGGGAAGATCTTCCATCCGATGATTCACTCCCCAAGTGACTGCAATGGCTGGAGCTGAGCCAATCTGAAGCCAGGAGCCAGGAGTTCTTCCAGGTCTCCCACACAGGTGCAGGGTACCAAGGCTTTGGGCCGTCCTGGACTGCTTTCCCAGGCCACAAGCAGGGAGCTGAATGGGAAGCGAGGCCACTGGGATTAGAACCGGCGCCCATATGGGATCCCAGGCGTGCAAGGCAAGGACTTTAACCACTACACCATCGTGCCGGGTCCTAGATCATCAATATCTAAGGGAATGGAACTTGAAGTGTTAGAGTTCTTTGTAAAGGGAAAGATTCTCCGAAGAGCAAGGCATCATGAATCTGTCTGTCTGCAAGGCTTAGCATTGCTAAAACTCAGGATAATAAAAGGAGAAGGAGAGAATATTATCATAAGATCGAACGTGGAAAGATGAAGAGAATGAAGATGCATCCAGCATTTAAACAGAGTGCTGATTCTGTGCCAGAATGAGCACCTGTTGATCCCTGTGATATTCCGTTAGCTAGTCCCAGTTTCTGTAGGGGAAACATGGAAGATGGTGAAGCTAAGTCACTTCCCCAGAGCTGTAGAGCTAGTTAGCAACTGGTGAACTGATTGTCGTACCTGATCTGCATCTGGTCAAGGCATTACACTGTGCTAGCCCGAGCAGTGTGACTGACAAGCAGTGTATTTCGAATGCTTCTCACAAAACGGACCCCAGGTGTTCTGTGAAAGCGTCCCTCAGCTCAGAACTCCAGTCAAGCACATGACACACCATGCTAACAGAGCAAGGGAATTTGTCGCTGGAAAGCCGTGCAGGAACAGTGTAGAAATGGGGATGGCAGAGCTTACTGCTGGGCACGGGAACTCAGCTATGTGCCTTGGGATTCAGTGCGGTTGATTTCAGAAGGTTCCTTTTAAAAGTGAGAATGATTAGGTGGCATATGCCACCAGACAAGGATTGTTGACTATCTACGAGGTCTCAGACTTCAGTTCTGGAAGAATTAATGTCAGTAATAAATAGCATTAATAAGCTTAACCAAAAAAGGTCATTAGTCAGTTTCAAGGAAGGAGTAAAATTATTTTATCTGATTTGTTTTGTTTTGTTTTTCAGAGAATGTGGGGATTTTGATCAATAGAGAATTTATTAATAAGTCAGCAATTAGATGTCTCTACAGCAGTGATTTGGTCATAGGCTGCATTCATAACAATGCTGAAGGATCTTCAGAAAGTTTGCCGAAATGTGTAATTTAGAGATAGATTTCTTCCAGGGTGAAGCGCTTTGGGAGTCCATGCATACTTTCTTCCATTTTCCTTGAACTTTTTGAAGACCTCTCATCTATCTGTGTTTCATAGTATATTTCACCAAAATCAGCTTCAAATTCTGTTTTTCCACAAACTATCTTTAGGTATGGTATCTAGCAAGGGCAGTGACTGGGGAAGGTAGAAGATGGGGTGACGATTCCTTTCTGTGCCCCTTTGGTCAGACAACATGGAAATCACTGTGTTCAGTGCTGGGTACATCATGGTAAAGGGAATAAAATCAGTCCTATGCCAACACCAAGCTTTTATGTTTAAGTGTTTAGATTTTGATGTGGCTGTACCTATATGTCTTCAGTGCTTTCTTAAACAAAAGGAGTGGGCACACTTGAATGGTGGAGAGAAGACAATCTTTTCTATAAAAACGTCTGTTAACTGTGAAGCAAGGGAGAATTAAGCTTAAGAACACCTTGAATTCCATACTACTTAGGGTCCTAGAATGCCACGGCTCTACCACCGAACACGCCGTTTAAGCTGGTGATGGTACTCGGGACTGCACTGGCAAATATGGCTTACTCCAGAATGGCTTTGTCCTGTCTCAGTAACGGATACACATACACACATTCATCTTTGTTTTTATCCTTTTTGCTTTTCCCTGACTACTTTAATTAAGCCTTTTATATTGCCAAAAATCATTCAGAAGAGCATGAGCTTTTCGAGCAGTATCACCTCTGCAGTTAGAAGCCTTGGAAGAGTGAGACTACGAAGAGGACGTTGAAAGTCACCTGTAGCCCTTGGAGAGAAATTTGCGATATTGTAGAAGACTACTAGGGCAACTCAAACAAAGGAAGACATGGGAAAATGGTAGAAATAAGCCCAGAACACTCTCCATGCTGTCATGCTCTTTTATTTCTGCATTTTAAAAAATATTTATTTTATATTTATTGGAAAGTCAGATATGCAGAGAGGGAGGAGAAATGAAGGAAGATCTTCTGCTTGTTGATTCACTCCCTAAGCAGCTACAATAGTCAGAGCTAAGCCAGTCTGAAGCCAGGAGCCCGGAGCCTCTTCCAGGTCTCCCATATGGGTGTGGGGTCCCAAGGTTTTGGGCCATCCTCAACTGTTTTCCCAGGCCACAAACAGGGAGCTGGATGGGAAGTGGGGCTTGCCGGAATTTGAACCAGCACCCTTATGGTATCCTGGTGCGTTCAAGGTGGGGACTTCAGCTGCTAGGCTACTGTGCTAGGCCCCTATTTCTGCATTTTTGATAACTCTCAGGCCTTTTTCTTGGCTTCTGTCTGCTGAATTCTGCTGAGAAAATGAAAATATAGGAAACATTTACACACTGATTAAGATGATGATTATATTTGGGGAAGCATATTGTCCACACTGACAAAAATAATTTGCTTTGGAAGCAACATTTTCCCCCTCCGTAATATATATATATATAGTAACAACATATAAATGTTACTATATATAGCAGTAATATATGTTAATTATATATTATATGCACACACACACATTTCCAGCTTTACTGGAAATGGCCTCTGAGTGGTGTGGGAAGGGTTATAGGGCCAGCCCTTAGGTGCATCTCTCTGACCACAGGTGGTCCAACCCATCTGGGTCACTGGCCACTTTTGTGTCTTTGCACTTGTGAGGAAAAAGCTGGGGGTGGATTGGAGTGAAGCATGATGGGAGAATTACAATTTCCAGCTTGATACTGGAAAGTCCTTTCTGTAATACTTGAAACCTGTATCGTCTTTCTGGAGATGATGCTAGGTTGCCTGCCGCTGGCACTTCGTGCGGAGAAGAGAGAAGCTTCGTGCGGCAGTTGAGGCATTCAGGTGCTACATAGGTGATTTTTTTTTTTAATATTCCTTTTAGCCTGTGGGCAGTGGACCTAGAAAATTCTATCATGCCATTTTATATTAATACAATTATTTGCCAATTTGTGTAATGTTTTACATTTCAGAATAAACACATTACAATAAAAGATGAATATTATACTATAGCAAAAAATTGGGGGGCCTTATAATTTAGTGTGATTTTGCCATGTTGCCCTTCTTTCTTTTGAACTCCAGTATGCTTATGCTTGACATTGATGTGGATCCTATTGAGATTCATCCATGAGATTTAGAATTCTTGGCGTCTGATATTCTGTAATTGTTTGATATCCTCATTATCTTGCGTATATATACTGAGACCACAAAGTAAGCACTAAATGCAGATCATATGAATACACTTATGCAGTATATACAGCAGGCTTCCTTGCGAGGTATCAATGCTTTCCAGTATATTTCAGTTTATTCTGCTACGCCTAAAGGGGTTCAGCGTATAGAGTTGGCATCATGGCGCAGCAGGTTAAGCCACTGTTGGAGATGCCTGAATTTCCTATCCATGTCTCATATCAGAGGGCCTGGGATTAACTTTCACTCTGTGTATCTGGATTCCTGCTAATGTGCCTAGAAGGCAGTAGATCATGGCCACGTGCTTGAGTTCCTGCCATGGGCTTGGGAAATATACAGAGTTCTTGGCTCCTGGCGTTAGCCTGGCCCAACTTTGGCTGTTGTAGGCATTTGGGGAGTGAATCAGCAGTTGGAAGATCTCTCTCTAGCCTCTCCCTGTCTGGCAACTCTGGCCTTTAAATAAATAAACGGAACATTTTTTTGAAGACTGTGAGCCTGTTGTTAGGCTTTTGTAGGCTGGTTGCTAACTTAGATAAATGAATACATAATTAAAACCATGATTTGGTCTTTCAGGAAGCCATGAAGCAGATAACTCAACTCCTGCCAGAAGACCTCAGAAAGGAGCTCTTTGAACTTTGGGAAGTACGTACACATGATGGGTTCATTTGCATTTGTTGTAGCTAAATTGGTGTAGTTGATCAGTATTTCAGTTGGCATGCTGGTTTAACAAGCTGTCATTATTCTCTTGCTTGGTCTTCTCTCCTCCAGTTTCTTCAGAAATTTTGTACAACTGATAGATATTTTTCTCTTCTCTTATGTCCTCTATTTCCCTTGCCACCCAAGTGCCTGTCCAGACTTTGACTCCCAGGTTACCTGCTACTTTGCCTACATCCACCCACCTATTCCTCATCCGTGAAAAGAGCAGTAACAGGAAGTAATTCAGAACAGGGTCTGCCTCCACATCACCACTGCCCTGGGCACTTTCCCCTTGCTGGGTCCGCGGCCTGTCTGCGAACCCCTGAAGGGCTGCTGGGGCTGCCCCAAGATGAGCTGCTGAAATGCCAGGCACAGGGCAGAGGTCCTTCCTTCCTTGCTTCCCTCCCAGGACTGCCGAAAGCAAGGGAGAGTTTACCCTAGCAGGGGAGGGAAGACTAAGCCATTTGCTCCCATTGCATCTTCCTCTTGGAGTTATTTGTGAGAAAAAAAATCTTCCCTTCTGACCTTAAGGTCTCAAGTCCCTGCAGCTGCCCTGGTTCCTTACTTTGAGGTAGCTCTGCCTCCCACCTGCACTCCTCCTCTCCCCCACCCTCATTATTTCCTTCAGAGCCTAATTGACTCAGCCTGTCTTCAGAGCCGGGGCGACTGTGGGGTGACTGTCTTCTCTTTTCACGCTGTCAGACCCCGACCCTGTCTTGCCTCTGCCTTGAGCCTCACAGCTGGCAGAGGCCCGTTCCTGCTGCCCTGTGTGCTGGGTCAGGTTTTCTCTTGTCCTGAGCCTGAGATGGGACGTGCCTGGTGTGGAAACCCTGCCACATCTCTCTCCTAGGGATGCTTTGTTCAACAGCAGCAGGTTGTGCACTGGCACTTCTGGGCGTGGCTCAGTTGTGGGAACAGCAACCCCTTTCAGGCGCTGGTGCCTTGCAGCCAGACAGGCCTGGTCTTGAAACTCATCCTATCTACATGATGTACAAGGATGTGTTACCTAACTCTAATTAAACTAGTTAATCTAGAAGTGAAGTGTCACATAGGTCCACATGCCCTTATTCACGGCCATGAAATTAAGAACACTAAGAGAACCAGTTTTTAGGAGACTTGAACTCATTTATTTTGCAAGAAGGCTATTGAGAGTTCTCATGCCCTCATTCAGTCCCCTTGGTGTGAAAATCAAGTATCATTTGATGGGAGGGGAAGTGCTCCTGTGGTAACTGAGTATTGCTCCAGACTTTGCTAGAGGTATTCTATAGTGATACTGTACTATTTTCCTTAAGAAATGCTGAAACCTGAAACAATTCTGGTCCCTTTGTGTACCTTTAGCAACTACTGGGTGAGTGATTAGTTCAATCAGATCTGGCAAAGTATGCATGGTATGTGGCTGGGAGGCTGGCCCAGCTGATCTCTTACCTACTTTTGGAACACCCTATAAATTGGCAAGTAGCAGAGTGAAATTAGCTTGTGTCTCATACACAGTTAGAAAACAAAAGGCATTGGAGCTTACGAAACTGATCCATGATTGTCTTTTAAGGAGGAAAAACCCTCATTATTTGAAAACCTTTTACAAGAATTTGTTGCTGAAAAAAACACCCTAAACCAATTGAAGGTGTTACAGAACCTGCAAACCGAACCTAATTGTCCAACATACAGAAAGTCAATCACTGACATTGAGATGGTGGAGGAAAATAAGTATTATGGCATAGTCCAGACCAAGGGGCCTGGCAGTTATTAGTTCCCAGGCTCCCCAAGGAATTAAGAGTGCAGGTTCTTATAGAATGAAATTGTGGCTAAGAAGTATATGATTTGTTCATGTCCAAGTTCCTGGTTGCCGGTGACACTCATGACCTTCCTTTGATTGGTCAGCAATGCTGTGCTCTTTAGGGAATTTATCATGAACAGGAGGGCTCTCATTGGTGTGACGGTTACATGCAGGCAGCACTTACATTCTGCCCAGAAGTAGAATTCCTCTACACAACTGCCCAGCACAGGAATGACCATTCAGGATTCTTATCTACTGGGGAAGCAAATGACTTCCCCAGTCTGGTGAATTAGAACTTCATAGGGCCAATAGGACCACTCCCTCAAGTCATTGAATTCTTTTTGATAAAGGACAGACAAGGACATCTTAGGCTAAAGAAAATAGACATGATGATGTTGGGCCCTGTTTTTACAATATAAGATTCAATTTCAAGCTTGTAACTTGTGTTTTCTAATTGTATAAATACAGTCATATCTTAAATACTGCTCTTAGTTATCAGTTAGTGGCTAAAAATTTCCCTGAAAATTTTACTTAAATTAAAATTTTGGTTCAACCCTCGGGGTTGGGGGCAACTGCTGCTCCCTGCAGTGTGGCGGCTGTGGTGGGCGTGCTCCTGCCAGGTCGGACCCAGTGCTGGGGACTCATGCCAAAGACACTGCCGGAAGGTAGTGACCGAGTCCTTGGCCTTGGGCGGCCAGTGCACCAAGTGGTGCCAGGCTCTGCCTACTGGCTGCCTGGCAGCGAACTCTGGGGTTTTTAAGATATATGGTTGCTGCCTGTGGTCACCCATGACTAATGCTAATTTTAGTGTAGGTAAGAAGTGAATTTTGGGTGCTTCCCAGTGACAGGGTCATGAAAGTTTCAGGCATGCTTGGGGACTGAGACCTGCTGGTTTGGAGGGAAGTATCCAGAAGATAATTTAGGTTAGATTAGACAGATTAACCAGCCCAATTAGGAATCCAGAGATGGGCTTTTAGCATTGAACTTCACTGATCGCCACACCAAAGCTATGGATGGGAGCCTCTTTGGCAATGTTAAGTACCATTACCCGACTAGGTAGTGGAGTGGTGGAGTGGTCACAGTTGGCAGGGTCAAGACACTATCCAGCACATGAGCGAACTTGGTCTGGGGGTAGACTCTGTGGGGTTGTGTGGGCCCAACACTGGAAACACAAGTCCCCCTGGTTAGCTCACAAGCTGGGGTTGCAATGGACTAAGCTAGGTGTGGCCATGCCACCTGCCATCATTCACAGGTAGAGGAACCCACAACAGTCAGGGCAGGTCAAGGCAGCAGCACCTGAATGTGCATCCTAAAACAGGATGTGGGGTGGGCCGGGTTGCCACTAGAAGGGGGCAGAATGGGCAGGGCTGAACAAACCTTAACTCACAAGAAACAACAGAAATCAGGTTGGAGCACAGCTCATGCCAAGTAGGTCCTTGCACCTACTGATCTGTGTGAGACAGGGACACCAAGCCACAGCATCTAAGGGGCCAGGACAAGTGAGGGGCTCTACCAAGCTGAGTCAGAGCAACCACTGGCCTGCACGTGATCTGAGGCTGGCAGTAGGCCCAGTTGGGGAGCTAAGAGGACACCCAAGCTAGGTTGAGTTTCCCACCAAGGAGTGCATTGGCTGGAATTGGGGCTGTATTCTGATCAGGATATGGTTGCAATCTCACTTGGCACAAATGTGGACTGGGACTGGAAGCACCAAGCCGGGCCAGACTCCAACACCATCTGGTGCTCTGGAGGACTAGGGGAGATATGTGATTGACTAGGCTAGGTCTCAGCCCTTACTGAACCATGTGTGAGCTGTATGGGGGTATGGAAGAGCCGTGGCTGGGTTGAAACATCCAACAGTAAGAACCAGATTGGGTTGAAGGCCAGTCAGGAAAAGCCACTGCCCCTGCTAGGACAGGAGGTGGACTGAGTAGAGCTGGCCCATGAATCCACTGGTAGGCACAAAATCTGGCACTGGGAGAATTTCTGATAGAGGAGCCTGGACAACTTCTCTGGCAGGACACAATCCCTGTAAGCGCAAGAAGCACAATAGGAAACAGTCTAGAACAGGCAATGGAAATTATCCCACTGACATACACATGGCATGGGTTAGGGGCAGACCAGGCTGAATCAGCTCACATCACCTGCTGGTGAATCCCAGCACCAGAACAGAGTATAGGTTGAGCCAGGTTCTGTTGTGATACATACCAGCACACATTAAGGAATGCCAAGGTGAGACGAACTGTACCAGATGTGGTTGCAGCGCCCAAACAGCACATGTGACAATCAGAGGGGGGAGGTAAAGCCGGCAGGGGAATGTGGGCTCCCTTGCTGGACAACTACTTCCATTGGGAAGCATGAGTCAGGATGGGGGCAGATCAGACTAGGCAGGGCTATAGCACCTGGGGGCCTCATGTGAGCTAGAGAAGGAAAGGGCCACGGTGGGCTGACTGTTTCACTGGTGCAAGCAAAAATTAGAGTGGGAGAGGGTTGGTTGGGCTTAGCCGCAGCATTAGCTGGCAGAGGCTGGCACTGGGAGCTAATTCTGTGAAGTCAAATGCCAGAACCACATGGAGAGTGCATAATCTGGGAGTGGGTGTGGCCTAGTAGGGAAATAGTGGGCATCTCCCTCGGGGTTACCACTCTCACTGGAGAGCACGAAAACCAGGACAGGGACAGGGGTGGCTAGACAGAAAGGCACCTGCCAGCAGGTATATGGGCTGGATAGTAGGATGGTTGGGTTGAACTAAGCTTCAATGCCCATTAACATGTGCAAGAGCTAAATGGAATGTGGGACAGACTGGACAAGCCTGCGGTGTATACTGGCAAGCATGGGAACCAGGGTAGGGGGCAGAACTGGTGGGGGTTATGGGGAGTCGCTCCAACCTAGGCTGCAGTTCCAACTGATTTGCATGAGGACCGAGTATGAACTGGGTAGGATCTAGCTGGACTGCAACACCCGTTGGTTCACGAGGAAGACAGGACTGGAAACAGAACTGACCCAGCAATTGCAACGACCAGCATGTACATAAGCTGATTGGTGTGATGGACGGTGTTGGACTCTGTACTAGCAAACTAAGGCAAGAATCAGGTCTGGACTCATCTCAGATGAAGTTTCTTTGGAGATCCCTCCAACTGAACTGCTGATCTTAGAACCCCAACCATGAAGAGACTGGCAGCAATCCAGAACTGATGAACTATCAAAACTGTTTGAGCAGGACCCTCAGAGCACGCCTCACATCAGGAACCTGGGATGGATGGGAGGTTGGTTGGAGCTTTTCCCTTTGTAACTCTCCTAACCCCAGATACAGGGAAAAATTATATTTATGTAGAAACAATGGTGTTACCTGCTTTCATCCTGTAGCCCTTGGCTCTTTGTACCCTAATCAACTAAGTAAGATTATTAAAAAATAATTTAAAAAAAAGAAAAGTTAAAAAAAATTTTGACACTTTTGCAAAGAGAACACTACCGTGGCTACTTAGAAAGACTGTGGATTTAAATAAATGTAAAACAAAGAACTAAAATGTTTGATAACCCCCTTAACAGGTGACAATGCCATTGTCTCACAACTGTCACTGGCTGAAATAATAAAACTTGTTAAAGAAAATTTCTCTTCTAAAGCACGAGGGGAGTCTCCTGCTTTGTCTTTTTTCTAGCTTTTGATGGTTGTAGTCTCTGGCATTCCTTGGCTCGTAGACACATCACTGGCCTCACTGCAATCCCTGCCCATGAGTCACCTCGATTTTGCCATGTGTCAGTATTGTCCTACTTTCCCTCTGTTGGAACAGAGCCCATGTTGATCTAGAAGGGCCACATTTTCATGTAATTACCTCTGCTGAGACCCTGTTTCCAAAGGTCACCTTCAGAGGTCACATTCCACAGCTTCAAGGTAGGAATGAATTGTTTTAAATACAGAGACCCAGAATGATCTATGCATGTGCACTGTTAGGGCATGAGCTTTAAATGTCAGGCTTCCTAGATTCCAATGATGCCTCCTCTGTATCTGACTGTGTGATCTTGGACACCTTACTTACCTTATGCCCAGATTTCCTCAACTATACAATGGCAGTAACAATAATATAAACAAGTTAGAGGGTATGAGAATTAACTAATAAATATAAAGCTTTTCAAATGCCGCCTGGCAAATAGTGTGCTTTATTTTTCTCCATCTCCAGCCCGCACATCCTGAATTTCATTGCAGAAAATATGATATCATTCTATCCTGTGGAGCTGAGAATAGTCCTAGTTACATAGAAAATGCTACTTGATTGAGTTTTGAAATTTTTACAGACCATGACAGCTATTCACCACTGTAAATACTATAAATCAGCCCAAAGGGTTGCATCCATTTAAAATGATTAAACATTCTTGAACGTAATTTCTTTTTTACCATCACATGAAATCAAATTTCAACAATCCAAGAGGAAGTGTTTTCTTTTTTTTTTTTTCTGAAAGTTTCACGGAATGCTGTCTTCCTTAACACCTGCATCTGATGTAAAGATGTAACAGTCTGGAGCCTGAAGGCAAAAGAGGAGCTGTTCCCCCAGCCCCTAATGCCCAGCACACCCCAGTGTCCCTGTATCGATCTCTGCATTGTCAGAAGTTTGCAGTCTCAGATATGCAATCAGGTTAAAGGCTGCTTAAACAATGTCTCCCTCTCTGGCCCTCAGTGTATGAGTTGGGTTTGAGTAGGGCAAACTGAGAATTCTAGGACCTTGGCGGCTGAACCGCTGGGAGGCAGGAGAGTCGGGCAGCCACAAGATAAACTTTAGACACAGTAGGTCTTTGTTCTGGAATAGGAAGGGTCATTCAGACCTTGTAGTCTTCCTACCCTTCTCTTTTTCTTCTTTTTCAGTTGTCTGCTTTTAGGACATAGATTCTTTCCTGTGCCAAAGCCCACGTCTGAGTCCTCAGTCATTTGTCGTGTCCAATGACCCCTGGAGACTGGGGAGTACTAGGGTGAGGATCCTTGGCACCTGCAGTCACTGTCTGTTGCAACCTTGGCCTGCTGCGCCTCACAGCTGCCAGCACCTTCGTGTGAGCTCCCAGGCACCTTCCAGTGGGCCCACATTAGCTGTGTGTCCCTCACTTCCAGCATCTGCCTTACTACCACCACACACACATCCCCCTAACACCTGCCACTTCAAAGCAGATCATCTTTGCTCTTTCTTCAGCAAGGGGTTTCGGATGGGGTTAAATCTTTTAAGTAAGTGCACTCAGTCCTCCTTTGCATACCTCCCTGAAGCCTGCATGTCCTCACTTCCCTTCACTATCAAATGGGTACAGAGTTGTTTGTATGTCTTGACTACTTCCCAGGCTAACTGACAGCAAGTGAGAGGTGGTGGAACAGGACCGACTTTGGGAGCTAAAAGTTTAGTGTCTCCCACTGGCCGGGGAACCAATTATTTGAGCCATCATCTGCTTCCTCTCAGGGTCTGCCTTAACCGGAAGCTGGCATCAGGATATGAAACCTGGAATTGAACTCAGACACTGTAATGCAGGACTCAGGTATCTTAACTAGCATCTTGATTATTTCTGCTGGATATTTGCCCCCACTTTCAAATTTCAGTTCATTTCTTCACCCTTGAGATTTCTTAACACCTGCCATATGCTCACATTTTGCTGCTAGGATCTTGTAAATTGTCTGCTAGTGGCGGCAGTCTCAAAGCCTGACTTCTTTTCTGTTGTAGCAGTAATCTATATTGTAGTTAGTGTCATCTTTCTGACTTGTATATCTGAACATGAGTCCTCCTGCTTGAAACTTCAGTGCTTACAAGCAGCTGCAGGATAGGACAAGAGGTATAGGTTGGGGGCCTGGACCCCAGGCCTGGCGGGAGCTGGCTCCTGCCTCTACCTCCATCCTCCTCTTGCCTCCTGTAGGACTCAGGAGTTGTTTAGTCATTTCTCCAAACTTAGATTTTTTTTTAAATCTGTAAGTACACCAAGATTTGTCGTGAAATGTATTTCCTAATGGTCTTTAAATCTTTTTATCTGTTTCCATTGTTTTAGACCGCTATGCTTAGCATACTCTGTTTCCTATGTTTCATTCATGAGCTTAAATTTTTCAGTTATAAATATATAATCATGACTTTGGATAAATACTTAAATATACAGTCGCTTCAAGTGCCTTTTAGATAAAACAAAATGTATTTGGTTTCACATTTAAACGATTCGCCTTCAGAGTGTTCAGTTATTTAAGTTTCAGATAGCTACCTTTGTCTGAATAAAGTGTCTGATAAAAACCAAGAAAGCTTTCTATGATCGCCATCATGCCGTGCTGCTGAAGGAATATGGCATTTAAATGATCTGAGCACATCTGGGATGGAATTACAAACTATAGGGAGACCCACTGGGAACACTTCAGTCTTTTTCCTTCCTTAAGATTTATTTTCCTTATTTGAAAGACAGAGTTAGAAAGAAATAGATCTTATATTCTCTAGTTCACTCCCTCAGTGGCTGGTGGGGGTTGAGTGAGGCCGAAGCCAGGAGCCTACAGCTGCACCTGGGTCTCCCACGTGAGTGGCAGGGGTTCTGGCACTTGCGCCATCTTCTGCTACTTTCCCAGGTACAAGAATAGTGAAGTGGATCAGAAATGGGAAAGCTGGGACTTCGACTAGTGTTCATTTGGGATCACAGGAAGCCTCTTCACATGCCATGTGACAGCATTAGCTCCCAGCGCTTTAGTCTAAATGGAGGAGTGACTCCCTAGGTATTGGTTGGGTTTTGTAGTTATGAGATGTGTGCCATGCAGTTTGGAGCAGATCTCCTGAAGCTGTATCTTCCAGGCTTGTAGAGAGCACAGAGAGACCAAAGGGGAAGGAAAGGTAGGAAAGCCACTCCACCTCACCACCAAGTCACCAAGACATATATACACACCTGTGCCTGGAAGACTCCCAGATCCTCACTAGCTTCACAACCCAGAGAACCTTTACTAACTCTGCCCTGTGGGGGACAGAGATTCCCAGGTTAAGTGGTGATCAAAAGGAAATGGGAAAGCAAGAAATTCACCTACAATGGAAAGGGAAACCTGACATCAGAGGGAGAGTGACATGAGTGTGCTTGAGAAGCAAAGGATGAAATGACAGTCTGAAATGTAAAAGATCTGAACCGCTAAAGTAGATTAATGATCTAGGGCTGCCCTTCTGGCCTAGCAGGCAAGGAAAGCTGCTGCCTGCAAGGCTAGCATCCCTCATGGGCACTGGGTCAAGGCAGAAGGCTCTACATATAGAATGTGCTTTTGGGCTGTGACTGATTTCAGGTGCCCACTCGCAGGAGTACCCCGTTGGGCTGTCCTCATCATGCTGCTGTGATTGTCTTCTCCCTTAGGAGTATGAAACCCAAGCAAGTGCTGAAGCTAAGTTTGTGAAGCAGCTGGATCAGTGTGAGATGATTCTTCAGGCATCTGAATATGAAGAGCTTGAGAACAAACCTGGGAGATTGCAAGAATTCTTTGACTCCACAGCAGGTACTTGACACCATTCTCAGCAAGGACCAGTTTTAGTTTGGTTTACTGAGTGCAGTGTCTAATGCTGTATTATTAGGGAGACCCACTGCTGCCAGTGGCCCACTGTGTACCCCTGAGCAATCTCTTGTTTCCTCATCTGAAAATAAGGCGTCATGATACTATCCTCAAGTCCAAGATTGGTTCAGTTCAGCTCCGTGGCCTTAAGAACCCTGAGGTGCTGGTCCTTCTCTGACCCCACAGGTGGCTTTGTCAGAGGAAGGCCCTGGCTTATGCACTGTGCTCTAAGATGTGATCTGCATGAGAATGAACTAAATTCAATTTCCCTTCTCTCTCTTTCTGCAGCTCCCCTGCCTCTGCCCTAGTTAAAGCCCTTATGGTTTCTGCATTGTTCCTTTGCTCTAATCTCTGCCAAGGTGTTTCTGTGTCTCAGGGTTTGTCTGACTTTGGAGAGAGAAGCATCATGCCATCTTTCATGTGGCTTTTTCTTTTTCTCAAGAAATAAAATACTGATGCTCGTGGGTGGCCTAAAAAGCCTTGGAGTCTAAGGCCACCCACCTCCCTTGTGCCCTTTTCCCAGTCCTCCCTGTCAGAATGAAGTGTTCCCTTCCTTTTGCTGTCTGCACCAGATCTGGAGCTAGCCACTGTCCTCTAGTCTGACCTGCATTCCAGTTAACAATGTGCTTTTTGAGTTCTTTTTTCCCGAACACCTGCTTGTTCACCCCCACCTGTAGTAAGTCATTGAAATGTAGGCAGTCCTCACAGATGTTAACTTTAGTCAGACAGAATGATGTTAGAAACCGGGGATCATCAGTCCATGGTCAGAAGGCAAAATTGGCCTTTGTGCATTTCCCAGAGTGAAGTCTTACTGAAATGTAGCCACATCTTTGTGTCTGTTGTTAAGATGGGAGATTACGTGTGCATATTTCTGTGTAAGTGAAACAGTCAAGGGGCAAGAACTACTGGCTGAAATATAATGCATGGGGGTGGTGGGAATCTAATGTGGGGGAAGGAGGGTGGGAGGACAGTCTGCCACAGGGGCAGTTCATCCTTCCCACTTTAGTGGCTGTGTTGGGTCCTCGGAGGGGGCTGCAGGAGGAGGTGGCTGGGGGCAGGGAACAAAGATCCCTCTAGGAGAGTAGGTCATGGGCACAAAGGCCAAATCCTTGGAGGGATTATCCTTGGCACTGAGGTTGCCAAAAATTCTTCTGGGCAGTATTAGTTTGACACCAAAGCCAGCATTCAAGTTTGCAGGCAAGTGTGGCCTGCTGTGCCGTAAATAATGGCCAACAGAAAGGGCAGTGAGTGGTATGGCCTGATGGAGTGACCTCTACACTGAGAGGTTGATTACAGTTTGGAAACAGTAGCCGGGAAAGTAGAAGTCAGACCTATGCCTGTGGTATGGCCCCATGTGAGGCACCTATGTCATAGGGAAGCTGGGTGCTCAGGGCAAGCAAGGTATCAGCTTTCAAAGAATTGTTCGGAGGAGATACTAGGGTAGAAACTGAGTGGAAGAGAATTTAACGTGGGAGGAACAGTATGCAACACCAGACACAGCTAGGAAACCACAGTGAGGATGAGTTGTCAGCTGGGTTTGACAGTCCCCTGTGTTAGCCACCATCTCCTACAATAGCTTGGAAATTGGTGGGCATCCAGTGCAGAAGTGTGTGGTAAGTTAGAGACCAAGAATGACCACACACATCAATGGAGGTGTCTACAAGAGAGATATCTGCTGTCTTGGTTAAATTCTAGTGTGGCCCAGAAGCTCTGGTCTTACTACTTGTCCCCTTTAATTAATTGCAAGTAGGAACTGGACAGTTTTGTCTCAGCCCTGTGAGCTTGCTCCCCCTGAATTATCTCAGCCTTGCTGTCCAGTGGTTTTCCCCCAGCTCCACTTGCACTGATGATTTCTTATCTGCATCTCAGCCTTCCATTCTCCCAGAGTGGCACTTGCAGTGACAGCAGGTGGCTAAAACACCGAATGGTCCTCTTTGGTCCCTTACTGGACCTGAAATCCTTTGCTTTGGAGAGACGTGTGTAGGTCAGCTCACCAAGAGGAACATCTGCTAAGCGCTGAGAGTTAGCTGGGGAAGCTAATGTGATTTCAATGTGGTTTGTTTCTTATTACTTTGCAGGAAAATTCAGTCACCCTGAGATCGTCCAGATTGTTTCTGAACTGGAGGCGGAGAGAAATGCTAGCATAGCTGCCACCAGCAGGGAGCTGCCCTCCTGAGACTGCTGCACTCCTGTGACAAACGCTGTTTTCCATTTCGTGGGGTTGTGTTTAGCTGGTGTTGGTCCATTGATCTTCTCAGATGTTAGCCTGTATGTTTTAAGAGGCATGGACATCAGCAAGCAGCGTGATGTTCTTTGGGCACTAAGAGTGACCTTGAAGGAGAAAGTGATCATGAGAAACCCTTGCCTGAAGACTGAAATGACAGTGCCTTTATAATGGACCAACTAAATAAATACTAAAGAACCTGAACTTCAGAATTTATTGGGAATTTTAAATTGTTTTATTCAGTTTATATCCCTGAAGGCCAGAATGAGAGAAAATTTAATCATAATTGCTTTTTAGAAAAGATTATTCAGGTGACTATTTGCTAAGGATTCAGAACAGCAAATAGACAAGGAATGCATTCTTTCTTCAGAGGAAGTGCTACCTTCCTCCGATGACCTGTCTCCAGCCTGGCTTGGGGTTTCACTGCGTCCTGCTTCAGTTCCTGATCATGGGCTTGGAAGCCTGCTCACAGGCCCTGCCCCTCCCCCCTCCCTTGTGGTCATTTGGGGACATGAATCAGGGTATACATTTTCCAATGCCGTTTACTGTTCTCTGTGTATTTCCCTTTCTGAATTATAAATCTTAAGACCTTGGTAATAGGAGCATTTGTCATCAGGTAGGACATGCAGAAGGGGAAGAGCACTGCAGAAGTCACTAAGTCCTAGAGAATCCCTCAACCCAGTTTCCTTTCCATGCTTCCCTTGGTCAAAATAAGCAGTCCACCCCTGTTGGTGCTCTAATGACGCACAAAGGTCAACAAGGGCAGGCGGGAGACCATCCATGCCAACTTGCCCAGGGCCATGGCAAAGAACTGATGCCTGTCCCTTTAATTCACATGTCAGTTTCCATTTGAAGAAGGCCTTTGAGGCTGACATGGGGAAAATTCTAGGCAGCGTTTCTTTGGAAACTGCAGTATCCATGGATACCCGGTCTGCAGGAAACAAGGTGCCTGGTCTCACAAGCAACACATGTGGGCACACTTAGTTGCTCTGCACTGAAAAGCAGAAAGAGTTCAAAATCTGATTGTTACCAGGCAGGGTGAGTGGAGAAACAGTGACTGGGGTAGGGGAAGAGGCATTCTCTTGGGGTGAAACCATGCACCCAAAGTGACACCAGATAAAGTTCAATATTTATAATACAAAGATTTTCTGGGGCCCTAGCATTATATTTTAAATGTTTGCCTGCCGTCATTTGCCTAAGCAGCCAGCACTGTTGGTAAAGACATTATCTGGAAACCTCTGCAGAGCCAGATTTTCTCTGGTCACTTCATAGTTATCTCTGTTTTTTATTTACCTGCCAGATGGGGGTTCAGAGTCCCATACTGTTGCTCGCAAGTAATACTTTAAAAAATGTAATAGTGTGAAAACTCTTAATAAAATAACAGAATGTGTGTTGTGGCACAGCTGTTTAAGCCTGAGACACCAGTTTCCTCTGTCAGAGTGCCCAGATCAAATTCTATCTCCATTTCCTGTCCAACTTACTGCTAATGTGTATCCTGAGAGGCAGTCGTGATGCCTCAAGTTTTTGGATCTTTGCTTCCCACAAGAGAGACCTGGAAGCAGTTTCTGGCTGCTGGATTTTGCCTAGGCTACCACTGGCTGTTGCAGGCATTTGGGGAAATGAACCAGTGGATAGAAGTGTGTGTGTGTATGTGTGTGTGAGAGAGAAAGAGAGGGAGAGGGAGAGAGAGAGAGAGAGAGAGAGAGAGAGAGAGAGAGAGAGAGACTATGCCTTTCAAGCAAAAATAGAATTTTTAAAAAGAGCAAAATGAAGATGAATAAATGATGCCCACTGAAACCACTAGCAATACCTTTACATAATTTGACACTGCTGTTTAAAGGTAGTCTCCCTAGTAGATACATGTTACTTGCCTAGAATGGTATGTCTGAGTAACATGTCCTATAATTTTTGAAGCATAGTAAATAATTCTTGGATTGAGTGCAACAGAAGGAAGTTCTGTTACTGCTTTACCCTTGAAGACTGGCATTCCACCCATGTTACATAACTCCCAATGCCCTTGTATTTGAAAAATACTGTTCAGTGTGAAGCCTGTGAAAGATGTTATTTTGGGGTGAAAGTCAGTAAAATTATAGATGAATACTTTAACCATTTTCAGTGACTACCAAAAATAACCATTTGCCAGATCTGTTGGCTTGACATTGTATTTGAATTACAGGTTTGAAAAAAGGCTGTTTCATATTATTAAACACCTGTTACTGTTACTGCCCTCTCCCTTGAACAGAGCCATTCCCACTCCAGTCTGATCCTGAGTAAGAGGAGGAGAGTGGGTCAGAAATTCACTGCAACAGGCATCACCTCAAAGAAAAGCTATTCTGCTTTCAAGCTGACAGGTGATTTAGGATAACGAACAGTGACAGGGAGTTGCTTTGGTACCCAGATTTGGGTCTCTCTGTTGGTCACTTTGGCTTGCATGGCACTAAAATGTGGCACATCTGTAATAAAATAAACATATCGTCTTCTTTCATTAAAGATCGTTATCTTTAATATAAGTAGTGTATGCTATTTAACATAAGTAGTTTATCCTAAGATGCAGATTGTTTGCTGGTATCATGTACCAGTCTTAGGGGTTGTGAATGGTAAGATAAAGTTGCATTGTAAACTTAACAATACCTTCTGTATAGCAGTGGTGGTATTAAAATAGTGGTCAGTTCCAAAATACAAACTCTTATAATTCACATTGGGATTTTTGATGATTGAAATATGGTTTTGGTTAAAATATTTTTCATGTACAATGGAGTTAACTTGAAGTAACTTTTTTAAAGATTTATTTATTTTTATTGCAAAGTCAGATATATAGTGAGAGGAGGAGATAGAGAGAAATATCTTACATCCAATGATTCACTCCCCAAGTGACCACAATGGCCAGTGCTGTGCCAAGATGGAGTCAGGAGCTCCTCTGCATCTCCCACACAGGTGCTGGGTTCCAAGGCTTTGGGTCATCCTTGACTGCTTTCCTAGGCCACAAGCAGGGAGCTGCATGGGAAGCAGAGCTGCCAGGATTAGAACCGACACCCATATGGGATCCTGGCACGTTCAAGGCGAGGACTTTAGCCATTAGGCATGGTGCTGGGCCCAGTAATTTGATTTATTAATAAAAGATTAAGTCTACTGAGTGCAACTTATTTTAGTAGTTGTGAAATGCTTGATAAAACTACTGCATGTGAACTGAAACTGACCCCGGATAGACCTGACTGAGAAATCAGGCAGTCTTGCAAACCAGGAGGAGCTTGCACAAGTCAAGTCTGTGACAGGCACGGAGCTCTGGAGTGATGAGGGAGACAGCTTGGGTCAGGCTGAGCTCAGGCTCAGGTGCTTTACTAGTGAGTTGCTTATCTGTCAACAAGTGGTAGTCTAAGACTGCTCACCCACCGATTTGATGATTCTAATTCATGGGAATTGACATATTCATGTTTTTAACTGTGTGTGTGTGTGTGTGTGTGTGTGTGTGTGTGAGAGAGAGAGAGAGAGAGAGAGAGAGATTCTTTTATTTATTGGGAAGTCAGAGAGACAGAGGGAGATCATGCATCTTCTAGATCACTTCCCAGATGACTGCAATGTTCTGAAGCCAGGAGGCAGGAGCTTCCTACTCATCTCCCATGAGGTTCAGGGACCCGTGTACTTGGCTTGTCCTCCACTGCTTTCCCAGGTACATCAGCAGGGAACTAATCAGAAGTGGAGCAACTAAGGCTGAAACTGGAGCCAAGGTTTTAAGATACATTTATTTGAAAGGAAGAGTGCCAGAGAGATCTTCCATTTGCTGGGTCACTCCCAAAATGGCTGTAAGAAATGGCACTGGGCTAGGCAGAAGCCATGGACCAGGATCTCCATGCAGAAGTTGCAGAACCATCAAGTTCCTCAGGTACTTGAGCAGTCATCTGTTGCTTCCCAAGCGCGTTAGTAGAGTTGGATCAGAAGAGGAGTAACCAGGACTTGAACTGGCACTCTGATAGAAAATGCAGCTACCTCAAGCAGCCTCTTAACGCATTGTGCCACATTGCTGGCTCCTTACCCACTATATCATATGGAAAAATTTAAAAAGGCTATTCGCATAATGGCAATCATGAGTGGTCAACATGAATAACACCAGGTATTTAGATGAATAGATATAAAAATGTATTTTCATCAAATTAAAGAAATTAAAATTTTAGTGAGTTAATGATCAGCCAAAATGGATTAGATGGTGTGAGATAGTAATAATTCTTTGTTTCCAGGGTTATCACTGTGTTTTCAGATTGTAAGGCTGGGACCATTATGTGCAGAAACTGGCTAGATAATGAAGATATGGAGCTACATACTGTAACTCTAATATAATGCAGTGCTGAATGCAGTTTTAAGAACAATTGCCAAGGGTTCACATCAATTGTATTCCCAGGCACAGAGAGACTGTGTACCGGCATGCTGCAGTGGGTGAGCCAGCACAGCCGGCGAGCCAGTTGGACAGGGCTGGTCTCCTGCCCAAGAGGCAGGCCAGGACTTCAACCAACAGGCTGGAAGGACAAACGGGAGAATGCCAGCTCTCCTTCTGGAAGAGTTTCTTTGTCTGTATGTGTCCACTCTGATTCAAGTCCTTAGCCCTCTTCCCTCTAAGGGAATACAGACTAAGAGCCAGGCCTATGAATGGGACATGGTCCTGAACTTGCTTGTCACTTAAATGCACGGACTGGACAGATTGGCAGGCTCCATTAATTTGAACAGACATTTTTCAGATTAGCTTTATTTTACTATTTCATACATGCTGAGTAAAAGTGCAAAAACCTAAAAATATGCTAAGAAATATGCATAGTATGTGGGATTTCTAGGTAGTAGGTCTGTTCATATGTGTATTTTTTAAATGTGCCTTAAGGCTGTGTCACTGCTCCCTAGTAATAGATGCTTGTTGCCACTCAGAAGAGTGAAGCATTCCAGGAAGCTTATCTTGGAGCAAGAAATGTTGAATCCATGCATAGTTTTTTTTTTTTTAATCAGAGGCATTTTTCATGAACTTTCTGAAGGCCCCTCCAAATAATGTGGAAGGCAAAAGTTACACAGAAATCTGAAACTATTAATAAAGCTGCTTGTTTCCATCCACATGGAGAACATGCAAACTGGAAAGGGTGGCTGGATTCTGCTTGTTCTCATTCTAGCTGTCCTTGATCTGAGTAACTGAACTTTATACAGACCACAGAGATTGTTGGATGTGGGGATTATCCAGATATAACCCCCTGGTAGTCATGGCTATTATTTTCATACCCTTTCATGTTCACCATATTAATAGATTTTTCAATCAGCACCTATAGAACCCATAACCCTGAGCACATAAAGAAATGAAGAACTATCAATTCGCCATGAAAACCAGTTATTTTAATCATTTAAATAAACACATAACAGATGTAGGGGAATGATAAACAGTAGATAGAGTTTGCTGGGAGCCATCCTTTTGCTGGAGCAGTTGATGAGGCTGAACGGAGAGGGCTTGTCCCCTTACCCGTCTGGAACATGCCGAAAGGAGGCCACTCCAAGCTCCCAGCCAACCTCTAGGAAGCTACATGCTTGCAGAATACAGGTGGAGTTACACAGACAAGCGTTAGGATCAATTGTGTGCCTGCATAATGTTGGGACATTTTAAAAGATGACAAACTATGAATGCTCAAGCATGGAGGTGGAGTGGTTCATCATCTATACACACACAAATGGAAATCATTTTATTAAATTGTCTACAGAGGCCATCTGAATAACAATGTGAAGACCCAAGCTTTTCTCCATGGGGTTTTGGTCTTTGCATCTGGATCTGCATGAACAGAGATGGGCTGGGCAGTGGGGGCTCCTTGTGGATGTGGCCGCAGACTGATTAAGTGGCTGCACCTAGCACTGTAGTTCCTCCTCTTCAGACCGCAGTGAACCCCCAGCCAAGCTCTGGGCACTGGCATGGGCTGTGGAGCTGAGCACCTCCTCAAAACTGCCTCCGCTGTGGTTCATCCCGCCTACTTTCGTCTGAAATGGGCAGATACACAAACACTTGGTTAGTTGCTTGTCATTTTTGTAACATTTATAACAGATTGCCAATCTATTGATTACTATCAAATTCAGAAATACTTTGTTTCTTCAACACCAAGTAAAGGAGGTAGAGGTGTTAGTTTCTTTTAGTTGAATACTAGAAAAGATACTTGATCTCAGATTTAGAGCTAGAATTCCAACCTTCAACTCTGCCGTTCAACTCTGCTGTCTGGTCAATGCCCTTCTTAATTCTATACGTAAGATTCTAATCCCTTTGAGAACATATTCAAATTTGTGGACTTGCAACATTCACCCACCCAATATAGAGCCAGAGAACTGACTTCATCAAAGTGGTATTAGGTTTTATAATTTTATAAATATGTTAAGTGCTCTATTTGGAATTTAACAGGGCAACCCGGATTCCTGGCAAACATCTCATGAAATGGTACAAGAGAACATGATCCCTGCTTTGAGCGCTGGGGATGGATCAAGTCCCAAGCACTGGGCATTTGCAGGTAGTTCTCCTCAGTCACATCCCTTACAAGGCAATGTTAGAACAATTTTATGAGGTTCTCCTTGTGTTCTTGCCCTTGACAAAAATTATAAATGCTGAGAAGTCAACTTACAACCTAAAAATATGGTTCAAGAGCTATTAGTCTTCTAATAACTCAGCATTCTATGCGCTAGTGTCTTCGCAGTTTGCAGTGTTTTGTCTGTTTTTTAAATTAAACATCCATGAGTTTTTATTTGAGATCATGAGTTACTGAGCAAGGAGGAAAGACAGATTTGTAGAGACATTTCGTCTGCTGATTCACTTCACAAATGACTGCAATTGCCAGGTTGCCAAATGACTGATGTGCCAGGATGAAGCTAGGAGCCAGGAGCTTCATCAGGGTTTCCCATGTGAGTGCAGGAGCCCAAGTAAACAGGGCCATCATCCCCCGCTTTCCCATTATAACACAGAACTGGATCAGAAATGGAAAAATTGGAACTCACACCTTTTTGGAGTACTGACGTGGCAGGCTCTACTCATTATGCCACAACACTCCAGTTAAATTTCCAGGAGTGTGGGTGTTTTTCCAATTTAATGCCTTAAACAGTAATGAAATGGTGCAGACAGAAGGAAAAAGGTAGGCATTTGGCCCAGAAGTTGGGATGCCAGATGGGTGCCCCCATGCCCTACTGAAGACTGGGTTTTGGTGACAGGTCTGTTCTCAACTCTAGCTTTCTGCCAGGGTGAACCCCCAGTGCAGCGTTGATGGTCCAAATAGTTGGGTTCCTGCAACCCACCTGGAAGCTCTTGATTCAGTCCCTGGTTTCTAGCTTCAGGCTGGTCCAGCTCTGGCTGCTGTGTGCATATAAGGAAAGGTAACAATCCCTTTTTTTTTTCCCTCTGCTTCTCAGACCAGTATAAAAATTTACATATGGCTGTGTATTCTGAAAATTTACCTAACAAAAGCCCTCCAGGGATCAGGTGCTGCGATGCAGTAGTTATGCTGAAACCTGGAGGTGACTGACCAGAGTTCCAGTTCAGGGTGCCTGACCAGAGTTCCAGTTGCTCTGTTTCCAATCTGGTTTCTTGCTGACACACTTGGGAAACAGTGAATGATGGCCCAAGTACTTGTGGTTCTACCTCCCATTTAGGAGTCCCTACTATGGTTCCTTGCCTATCCTGAGCTACTGTGGGTATGTGGTAAGCAAACCAGTGGATGGAAGTTCTCTCTCTTCCTTTCATATAGATAAGTGTATTTTTTCCTTTCAGAAGGCTTCAAAATGTTTTGTGCATGTCTTACAATGTTTTTGGTAGGTTCCCTTAGCCACGTGCAGTGTGGAAAAACACTGCAAAAAGGGAAGATAGGAAATAGATATGAAAGATTGCAAATAGATAACACTGAAACTACCAAACTGATGTCTGCTGCAAAATGATCACTCACAGGCATGTGAACACCACCAGGAAAAAATCCTGCTGCCTGACCCATGCTTCTGGAAACTTAACTAGGGAAGTCCCATCATTATAAAATGAAAAGCACTTATTTCCAATTGTCACTAAAATTGTCCTCTCTGGCCCCTTAAATTAATTATTAAATTGATTTCTTTTCTTTGCTTGGGATCAGAAGACTTTTACTTTAAGAGCCAAAGAGCAAACATTTTAGGCCGGGGAGCTACCTAGTCTACATCACATATATTCAAATCAACTCCCATGGCTGGGGGCATGACGTAAGTGAATAAACATGACTGAGCTTCCATTATTAAACCTTATGTGTAAGTTAATAAATTATACTACCATGCGACTCAATTATTATATGTCACAAACACTTCGGATTTTTTCAACCATTAAATAATACACAACTATTTGTAGCTTACAGATCATTCAAGAGCAGGTGCCCCACTTGGTGTGGCCCACGGGTTTGTCATCCCTCCAACACAACACACTGATTCTTACACTGTGTTCCCTAAATGCTGGAAAGAGGTGGAGTGTGGGAGAAATGCTTTCAACTGTGATTATTCAAAGAAATGCTTATTTCTTTGATCAAAGACATAAATAACGTGGTTTTAATGTAATTCACTCTATTAATAGTTCCGTTTTCATTTTTTAAAAAAATTTCCATTCATATTTCTCTTTGGCTTCTGTTTCAGAGAAATCATAGGCAATTTTGAATAAGATGAATACTAATTAGAAACGTTTCCTTTCAGGCTATGTCTCATTATTTTTTCCCGATTCTTCCTCTTTTTTTTAATTTTATTTTTTTAGATTCTAATATAAACAAACAAGGAAGTAACTTTGAAAGAAATCAACCTGTCAAAGATGGAGTAAATAAGTTCTTAATTGTGGATTTTTAAAATTAAAATGTGTTTGAAAGAGAGGGATAGAAGTGCAAGAGAGAAAACTATCACCTGCTGGTTCAGTATCCAAATGCCCACAGTGTCTGGAACTGGGCAGAAGCCAAGAGCTAGGCACTCAATCCAGGTCTCCCACATGGATGGCAAGAACCTAATTACTTGGGCATCACTGTTGCCCTTCCAAGGTCTACATTAAGAAAAACTAGAGTCAGGAGAGGGGCTAGGCATTGGATCCAGGGACTCTACAGTGGCATGCAGACATCCTAACCAGGTATCTTAAATGGCACCTTAACTAACAGTCCAAACACTCATTCCAGTCATGACTTCACCTGCTTAAGAAAAGATATGTGCAATAAACTTCCTCTGGACCCTTTCTTTCATAATGGCTTCTCATTCAAGAGTTTTACTCTGTTGCCAAAATTATACTTGTTCTTTGCATAAAATTTCATTTGAATTATAAGGTTGGATTTCCTCTCCTCTCAGAATAAAAGAGCTGGCTGATAGGACATAAAGTGATATAGATCATAACATATCTTGCCTTTTTAAAAGGTTTATATCAGCATAGAATGCATTCATTGGAATGCAGATAAATTAAAAGTATGGTTCTATATAATTACCCATGGTTCACTGGAACATAGTTGACTACAACCAATGCAGCTTCATGACCATTGATTCTACACCTGTTTGTTTGTTTGTTTTGGATAAAACAAAGGATGTACATTTACTTACAGGTGATACCAGCTGAAGTGACACAAAATAATCCATTGTAAGGATATGGGCAGGAGACATTCTAAAGGACTACAATACATTGGAAAGTTCTTCATGGAAAATCAAAGCACAGTATTGGGTATAAAGGAAGGGCAACTGATTTGGCACAAACGTGACATAGTACATGGAAGATGTGTGAGCAGATGGCAGGAGTGGGCCTCCCTTCACAGTAGAACATTAACTCGCACAGAAAACAAACATATCCATCAGTCTCTGTCAATGACAATCTAACAACCAAGCCTACAATAAGACTGCACAGGAATGCAGTGAGGAGACCTGTCAGGGATTCCACTCATGATTTATGAGTCAACTCTTCACAGAAACCAACCTCAGGATCCATAACCAACGAACGAACGATATGGAAATCTGGGGGAAAATAAATAAAAGCAACCTTTGCAGAAAATGAGGGGTATTAAGAAGGATTAAGTGGTGAGAGTAATTACAAAGTTTGTGGAAAAGAAAATTCAAAAATAAGCTTATTTTGGCTCAAAAAAATGAAAACATGCATTTTTTCATGATGTGCATTTTTCATGAATTTCTTGAATATTGCATTCATGGATTTCACAATGTGTTGCATGAAAATAAACTTATTTTTCAGTTCTATTTTTGGTGAACTTCTTAAAGTTCCTTTGTATCTTTTACTTTATTTAGTCTTGAGAAGAAAAAAGAAATGAGAAAAATGTTACTCCTGAGGAAGGGTAAGCAAGTGTTAACAAAAAGTGTGGTTATTAGCTATGCAGATAATACCAGAACAGGCAAAGAGAAATTAGATACTGTTCATGAGATAGGGGACTTGTGCAATGCGAGTCTGGATAAACCCATGAATAATCATAGGAGCACAGAATCCACTTTCAGATCTTGACGAGGATGGTGTCCTATGGGCTGAGTAAGTTACGTGTGTCTAAAGGAAGAACTAGATTCTGTAAGTGATCAGCTCAGAGTGTAAGTCAAACACTTAAACCACAAGTTTACCAGTTTCCTAAAAGTAAATGAAAATAGGTTGTCTTTATTCTTTTACTTCTTCAAATCTTCTTCTTCTAAAAACAACCTGAAAGACAACCTCTCCTATGTCAGAACTCATCTAACAGGCAGCAGAATCCATCTGTTTTAGGTTGCCTATGGCTGAAAACCAAGTATTAGGAAACTGACTCCAGGGGATTTTGAGCATTTTGCTCTCATCCTAGATATTCTAGTAAGAGAAACGTCAGCCATGGGCATCTCTCTCTCTCTCTCTCTTTGTTTTTTTGTTTACACAACAACCCTAGGAGCACAGTAATACCATTCAGTTCGGGTTCCCCTATAGATTTGTAAGTGTGAGAAATGGCCAGACTTAATAGCTGGCTGCGCTCTTGGCTGCACTGAATGCTGGCAGTCCTACCTTGTCTTGTGAACTACTGTCAACAATGGCTACACTATCCTGATTCAGTGAACCCAATCACACACAATTCACTTCATCTGTACCTTAAGGCTTGTGACAGTTGTCTCAACCCTCTCCTCAAATGATTTGAAAGTAGGAGAATTCCTAAAATAACAAGAGAAAAGAGGTCAGCTCCAAAGACCCAGCTGTCTTAGCAACCATGAAGTTGGTATTTTCCTCTTGACTCTAAACATTACCACTGCACCATGGCTGTCACTTGGCCATCTGCACCCTCTGTCTGTTAAAATACATTTCACTTCTGCTAGAGTAGGTCCAGAAACCATAGCCTGACGTGGAATGTTTCTAGGCAAAACAATCTGATACTAAACTGAAGAACAAATAATATAGCCGTTGGCAATGATATAACTATTATAGTTGTATAATTTCACAGCGCACTGTAAATTATTTCCAATGAGTCAATGGAGTACTAGCTCAATCTGTCACTTACTGTGTAAGTGTTTCTATCAGAATATTCTGCTTTCTGAATCAGTTTCTGTCTAAAGAAAACCATGTTGAATTTTCTTACTTGGAACCTAAAAGTAGATTGATCCAGCAAATGTAAGATAAGACAAAAACACTGCAAAGAAAAAGAAAAGGCTGAAATATATTTTTCTTTTCCATACCTTAAAAAGTATTCCTTTTGACAACTTACAGGACATAGTATTTCTGAAAATCAATGCCTTTACTATTTAAGTTGAAAAATACTCATTATGTATCTAATGCCTAATTACAATGCTATTACAATCACATTTTATTTTTCCTTTTAAAGAAGATAAACTATCTGTGCGCTTACCAGAAGGAACCTTCACAATCTACTGGCATTTTGTTTGTAGCTCATTTATTGTGTTAATGTGTATGCTATCTTTCTGGTTTAAGCAGATAGTTCATGTGGTGCCTTTAGGTTCTCTGTACCAGATGTGATCATTTGATATTACAATTTTATGCCATCATTGCCATGACAACTACTTAAAGATGTATGTGAAATCTTGTATCCCAATCTCAGCAATAATGATTGCCATCATTTTCAGTGCAAATAATTCCAACTAACTGTTACTCTATTTGTTAAGTTGCTAGCTCTGTCTTGAGTACAGCGAAAGTAAATTAAGAGAAATGGCCTAGAGAAATTTCATAAGGGAGAATGACTAGAAAATACAGATTTCACTGAATGATGCGTGATAAAGCACGGGAGAGAATTGTCTCCTTAAACTTTGATGCTCTTGCTGGTCAGAAATGTATCTGGGGCATTCCAGCTGCATGAGCTAATGCTAATGCTGAGTTCAGCTGACTTAGGCAGTGGCATTAAACCTTGCCTATGACTCAAAATTTGAGTCAAACATGAGTCAAACTCCTGCTCATGAGACAGCCTCAACCATCAGTGTCCAGGTCCATAGTGGGCAAAGTTATGCCTATTGGTTCCTAGGTATGTACATTAGTAAAAATCATTTTTTTCGAAGTTAATTTCAACTGGTTCATGGAGATTTCCATTTGGCTCACAAATTACAAAGTGAATTTCTGGGTGACCAGAATTCACTTGTAAATCTTTGGATGCAGGCTTAAAACATGACAAGTAAAGGGAACTCACAGCCTTGAATGGCATTGTTTAATTTATTGTTTTTGGACTATGGGGGGGCCATCCAAAGATAAACGAAGCAGTCTTGTCTCCATGTTCCCTATTTACCACCAAATACAGAAAAATAAACACTGTGGCTGCATTTCTAAGTCAACCAATTAACCACATAACCCCAGCATGGAAGAGACTATTTGACAGAATAGAACAGACCCTCCTCTAATTAAATTATCCTAGATTGTATGTTGGAGAAGGGAGAAAAATGACTTAATTAGATTTAATAATATCATCTACAACAACAAACTTAGCACAACAAATGACCCCAGAAAAGCCATGGTTCCCCAAACTCTAAGGTACCTAATGTAGTCCAACCAGCACATGCACTGTGAAGATGCAGAAGAGGCACTTATGTTATTACATTCGACTTAGGGGAGATTGGAGGCCCAAGGTTTGATCTCCCTCCTCTGCCACTGGAAGCCAAGGCAGTTCGAGGAAGCCAGAAGCTCCTGGATAGAGCAATGAGTGTAATTCTACTTTCCTGTCTAAGGTGAAATGAAACTGAGAGCATGGAGGTAAGTTTCCTAAATCTCCAAGCTAACCTTGAGCTCAGCTGGGCTGCAACCTGCCTCTTCACATTCATTCTTTCAGACTCTATTAAAACCAGTTTGATCTGACTGTTATCACCATGCCACGTAAACTTGAAGCTGGGAATGTTTTCTCACTAATTTTCTTCCAGCCAGTGATCTTAATGATGCTACACTGTTCTACAGACACGTTACCTTAATCAATCTTCCATAAACATCCTCATGATATGCTTTCTAAAACTACAGGTTGCATAGTCTCCTATCCTCCCACTAAAACTTTATCCCATGCTTACATTTAATTCTGCTGAAATTAGAAATGTATTCCCACCTTTGCAAGTGTGCTTGGAATGTCCCAGTCCTTGTGCTAAGGGTTTTATCAGAGAACTTTATTTCTTCCAATTTTCAAATGAAAAGATGAAGACAGAAATAAGTGAAGTCTTTTGTCTCAGTTAACATAGGAAAAACTGGGTCCAGTCAAAAGGCTATGTCTATTAAATTAAACTCTAACAGAAACTGCAGCCTGTCCTCCAGAAGACCATCAGCAATTAAGAATGAGCCAGAAAGAGGCAATTTTCTTTTGCATAAAGAGTGTGAGGGGGCAAACAAATATAAATCCAATCACATTTTGCATTAACATTATGTAAGATAGTTTATACACATTACCTCATAGCAGGCATACTTATGGAATGGCGAATGGAGTACCTTCAGAGCAAAGATAGTTTAAGAGAAAAAAAAAAGATAGCATAATTAATGAGCAATTCCCTGTTCATAGTTTCACAGCAGCTTTCCAAATTTCTGAAATATTTCCTGCCCACCCAACCAAGATATTTGTTGTTCTTGGGGGCCATGGTGAGCTTCCCAAGGTAGATGAATTGACGGTTCATCATTGCGTAATCATTTCTTTGTAGGCTCCCTTTGCCAGGCAAGCTGAGAAGGTTTGATGCCCCCAGATCAGCATGGCAACCCATGTGCATCCTCTCCAGACCCAACCTGGCTCCCTTCTGCTGCCCAGGAAGACAGTACAGAGTGAAGAGCAGAAACCAGGCAGTCAAGCAGGCAGGTAGAGGTTAATCATTGCACTGTGGAGAACTGTCCGGAGGAATGCACAGAATTAGCAAGAAACACTCGAATAGGCCATGCTAGCGAGCATCACTCACGCAGCAGCAGGCACGAGCAGATACTCCTACTCTCCCTCCTGTTAACTGTCGAAAACACCTGGCACAAATATAAAAATTCCTGGGAATTTTAAGACAGCTTTCTCTTCCTGTTAATCCTATAATAGCTGGCTCATCTTTCCTCTGATTGCTCGCCTGTCATTTTCAATTAAGTTTTACTCAACATTCAGGCTGGACAGAGGAAGGAAAATGCAGCCCATTTTCCTAGGCTAGCTCTCCTATCCCCTTGTCAAGGTGGTCTTTACTCTCCTCTTCCCCAAGAATCCGACATTTCCGGTGTTAAATCTGTCACCCTTCCCCAACACTATCCACTAAGGTCACTACTAGGGTTTTACCAGCCCTGTTACTGTGTCATTCTAGCACTTTACTAAAATGCAAAAAGAAAAAGACAAATTTAAGGCATACCTGTGTTCTTACTCAAGCACTCTATGCAGAAACTATAGTCAAAAATAGTTTCTTGGAAGTTACATTTAAAAAAAAAATCAAATTCAGTAGTGTTACTAACTTGTTCACCCTTTAAATATTAGGAAACAATCTCAAAAAAGTTTCTAGCAAGTTTGTATCCAAAAAAAGGCTTTTTCAGAGGCCTGGGACTGATAATTGTGCCCTTCTTAGATACTTTTCCAGTAACCTTTATTCCTCTCAACCTCAAAATATACAGAAAGTTATGGATGAAACATCAGTACAAGTAAGTTATAAGAAATTCCTAGAAACAAAATAATCTAGAAAAATCTAGAAAGAAGTGATGCAGAAAAAAGACTCTAAGAAACTGCTCAGTGAGAGAAATTGGTGTGATTCAGAGATGAGGCAATAAATCCAAACATACTGGATGACCTGTAGTCTGTATTTGCCTGGTCAGGAACACTTTCTGGAAAACAATCCAGGCTGTTGCCTATGGCATAGTGCTTGGGAAGCCAGGAAGCAACCAACCTGGAGGCTGGCTGAGCACCCCTGCCCCACTCCCATGCCCCACTGCGCTTACCCAATGGAGTGAGATCTGTAGCCAGGCAGCACAAGAGAGAAGAGCACAGCCATAATTAAAAGATAAGATGCCAAGAAACAATCAGATTGCCCCCATATCCTCTTTCAAGAATGTCCAAAAAAGGAAAAAGGACCTCCATCCACCACTTGTTCTTGACTATACAGTCATACCGTCAGCTCTGTGTATTCATGGATTCCACCATTGGAGGATTGGAAATATGTGAGGACAGGAACACTGATTCTTTACTGAAGAATGTACAGACTTGTTGTCTTTAGACCCTAAACAATGGTGTAGTGATTATCTATACAGTGCTTATACTGTACTGGAATTTAAAAAAAATCTAGAGATGATTCAAAGTATAAGGGAAGACATCCTCAGGTTACATGCAAACACTATTGTATCCATGGATTTTGGAATCTGTTGGGGTCCTGGAATCGATCCCCCACGGATATAAGGGACTGCTGTACTGTCTTTTCCATGCGTCTAACAGATTATTTTACCCACTTTTTTGACTTCAAAATTATTCCCATGGCTGCACAGCAATGGCTGGATGCTAATGAAATTAAATTAAATGCCTCCTTCAAACGTTCCATCCTACGATGTCACAGTTTGGACAAATTCACTGAGAAGTTCCAAGAAGATGCCAGTGTTATCATAAAAACAATTCCAAAAATTCTATATATTTTTTGAGTTGCTTTCCAAAGAGTGATCTCATTTTAATTTCACAGGAAATATTTTGATTAGGTAAGTAGTAAAGTTACTCCACAGTTGGACAAACAGATTTCGAGGTTGGGGGAGTGATGGATCCCATGACTGGGTCAAGGTGACAGCACTTGATGATAATCAGGTTAAGATGAGACTCTTACTTGGCTCTAGAAATACAACATGCTTTTACAAAACACATGAAGCCTAACATGGTGCTTTCATTCCATTTCAAAAGGACAAAATTGTAAGCTTTCAAAGTATCTGAGTATTTGGAATTATTTCAAAGAAAAACTGAAAGATAATATTTTTCTGTAAACACTGAACTTGTTCTGGCAATCTTTTTTAACAAGCTCATAAATTTGTTCCCAGAATATATAAAAGAATTTTTTAGTGCAGCTAGTAAGAATATAGTATATTGAGATACTTTTAACTGAAGTGGAAATTAAAACAAATGTCTGTGATTAAAATTTTGACATTTCTCCACTATCATTATATATTTGTCACATTCATTGTTCTCATTTGAAAATCTTTATTAAATTAAGCTTAATTAACTTTAAAATGATTCTTATGTGTATTAGTTGCATAATTCAAAACTAATACCTATTTGCAAAACTTGTTTTTCATGGAGAGTTATCATTATCCAATTTATGGTTTAAAATAAATATAAAAATAGAAAATGTTACACAAAAATATAACCATGAGATTTTCAAACTATAAAGTATTTCAGCACTGTATGTGAAGCTGTAATAACATGAACTATATTTTTAAGTATTTTTAGCCAGTTTATGGTGAGAGTGTTAACCTCTATACGGAGCAATAATTAACAAAATGTTTAGAACTCGTCTTTATTTGGAAACAGGCTATTCACTGTGCTAAAATAGCCACATAGAAACAGGAAGAAAAGCAATCAATATAATTTTGACACTATACGTAGTTAGTGTGGGAACATGAATATGTCACCATTTGCATAGTGCAGCACAGTCTTCCTTCTTTACTATTCAAAAAATAATAAGCAGAAGCCTTCAGAAATACAATCCTGCTAATGATTCCTTTTTATTTCCATCATGCAGGATCACCTTTTAACAAGATCACTGCTGAGTAAGGATAAAAACGCATGTATTGGGTGTACACTAAAAGCAAGACTCTTCTGTGTTTAAAATAGCTTGGTGATATTGCTCCTTCCCCCCTTTCAATATAAGAATACCCAGGTACAGGTGAGTTAAGAGACATTGATAATCTGACTATCTGCAACTTAATCACTCCAGCATTTGTTCCAAAAGTTAGCTCTTAGGGCCCACTCAAACCCTACTGAGGTACATTCCTGGCAGATGCATTTTGATAACTTTCAGGTAGTATAATGCTCAGGTGCCAATGTTCAAGTGAAAAGATTTCAGGTGTATAGAGAAAAACATAAACATGGCAAACTTTTTTTTGGGTATAACAGGTGTTAAGATCTTTCATATTTTAAAGGATTATTGCCCTGGATAAATGTTTTAATGATACTGAATTGACCTCAAATTATATTTGTAGTAACCTTAGAAGTAATTAATCATCTAGAAGATTTTTCTGTTTATTATATGCTGCTCCTGGAGAATTTGCATTCCTGTCTGATGATGTGTTATTAGAAAGAATAAAGACAAAACAATGGGCTCAGATCTGCACTCCTGCTTTTGTAAACTATAGTCTCATGAGTGCATAGTTGATAAGCTGGTGCGTGTTGACAAAATGCAGCAACTTTTGAAGGCACAAAGATATAAAAATTTGCCTTTTGGTAGCAAAGGTGCAAGATAATAAAGTAAGAGTTTAAGAATCCAATGAAATAAATATAATATGTGTGTGTATATATGCATATATATATAAAACTTTTTTAAAAGACACTTAAAAATGTGTGAACTTGATTCATTTTAAATTGAAAATGATTCAGAAGTAGTTCTCAGTATATCAGTCAGATTTTTAATGAACTATGATATTTAAGCCAGTAAAATCTGAGAATGATAATTCTTTAACTTCCTTGTACATAATATATAAATATATATAAAACAAAACAAAAATTGTCCACTCTATACTTTTTTCTAATACCTCCAGTGAGGAGACTTGGTTTTCAACGGAAAATCTACCTTGATGAGTAATCTAGTTTGATAAAGTAGTGAAATACAGAAAATAATTAAGATATGCACGGATACTTGTTTAGAAATTTTGCTATAGCTATGTACTTTTTGGCAATAGCCATTATAAATGAAGGTATGGTAAACATTTAGTAATAGTTCCACAATAATTTGTTAAGGTGAAGAAAGAAGCCCACCAGAAGTATACACCATATGGCATCTTTTTGGAATTATAGCATAAGTATAACTTGCATTTGAGTATTTCACACAGAAAAAATATACTGGATGGATATATTAAAAAATTTACCACAGCGTATTCCCCTGAACATACACTTGAATTTGTCCTTTAAATTAGAATGAGGAATAAGCGGCATGAACTGTGTTGTCTTGAAATCACCCTGACTCTCTTCCATTTCCCATGGTTAGAAAAAGATACAATGGAGACCAGGCCCCTAAGCTGACCTTCAAAGCAGAGAAGGCCCAATATGAAAATTAATCTGAGTCATCATCAGTAGCAGCCAAATAACATTTTTACCCATTAATATTTTTTTTAATATCAAGAACAGCCCATAGAAAATGCTCTCTTGACCCAGTTCCCAAGGCTCTGTCCCATGGTACCTCATGTCTCCAAATTTCTTGCTGATGGCTGTCCCCACGTTGCTGAAAGCTGCAGTTGCCTTCTGCCCTGCCTGACTCAGGGTCTCGTGTGTCTTCTTGTAGCTAAAAATAGAACAGAGCCACAGTAAGCATCACAGTTTCTGTGTAGTGATCTTCTATAAGACATCCATCTTTGTTCTCTCTGCTTACAGCGGAAATCCCAATTCCTTAAGAAAGAAGAGAATCTACAGAAGGCATTGCTTCCATTCAGGGTTTCAAGGAGATGGGCTAATGCTGTCCTTTAGCGAGAAGTCACACCACTGATCTGAATCCAGGAGGAAATCCCATGTACAGTGTACAGGTCTGTCACCACAAATCATGGGACTGTTCAGAGGGTAGGGACTGAAGGGATTAAAGGAAGTATATACTTTTACAGCAAATAGGCTTGTCAGTGAAAGCTCCAGCCACCCACGGAACACAAAAATTTAAAAATGTAGGCTGTGAAGGGAAATAACCTGTACTGTCAATGTGAGTAGAATTGACTAGAAAAGGCAAAATAGTACTAGTTACATAACTTACTTGTAATATTTATAGCCAGGAATAATAAGAGGGCATAATATGAGTATGGTGACTTTTAAAAAATAGTTGTTAAAGACATATTTTTTTTAATGTAATGTACCTGGAAGAGTCAGAGAAAGAGGGAGCCAGTGGAGAGGGAGAATTTCCAGTTACTGGTTTACTGTTCAAACCTTCCAAGTATTTGAGCCATCCCATGACGCACTAAGGAAGCTGCATGGGAAGTCAAGTGCCAGGATTTAAACAGGTACTTAAAAAAGGGACAGTGATATCCCAAGCAAGGTCTTAACCCACTGGGTCACAACATTCACCCCAAAAATGGTCTTGGGAATATGATGTGAGATTTATTTTACAATTCCATTAAACTTTATGTCTTCAGTATCTGGCAAGGGCATCCAGGACAAAGAGAACTGGAAAAATGAATGGATGACATCAGAAAGAACACTCCTCTGTGATCCTGTACAACAGGAACAAAGAGTGACAGATTACAGAGTCAGTACAGATAACTAGGCAAGAACCTATAAATGTCAAATAATAAAATAAAAAAAATTCCTGAGGTTTTGAATATGATGACCCAAAGGACAGTGGCACTACCAAGAGGGCCGAGGAACTTCTAAGAGTTAACAAAGTGGATACAAAAGGCACATACCTTGTGAGAATAAAAGGAAGTCATCAGAACTGTTTCTATAGGCTTAAACAATATCAACTCACTTTACAATGAGAGGACGTTGTATGTGGGGAAATTAATTTCACAAAGAAAATAATCAGGGTCCCATGAGAACAGACCAGTGGGTTCAGAGAACGTGAAAGTTCCACAGAGCACCACTTGCAACCTACTTGTATTCTGATGCTGCAAGCTGATTGAATTTGATCATAAAAGAGAGCTAATGATGCCTCTCCAATCCAGAAACCAGGAGCCCAAATCTTGTAAAACCATTCACCTGCCTGTCCACTGATAACCTCTGAATACGTTGATATATTTGTATTTCACCTCTTTATAATGCCATGGAATTTGACTCAGTTTACTCATAGTTATTGCTGCTTATAGTCAAAATCATTTTTCAACTGTAACATACATAACTATATTCAACAACACCAATCTTCTGATTGACCAATCTTGTAATTTAATGAAATTTAAATGGAAGTAGTACTTAACATTATAGATTGCTAACATCTCTTATCTTAAGCTAAATGTCAGTTATACTGTTAACTTACCTACTTAATAAAGAAAAACAATAAGTCTTTGAGTAGAAGTTAAAAATATTAACACGTTCATTTGTTACTTGTGCGTCAGACAAGTTGGGAGTATTGCTTGAGAAGTCTGAGTTCCGGGGCAAGCATTCAGCCTGGTAGGTAAGACACCCATGTTCTCACTGAAGTGTCTGAATTCAAGTTCTGGCATTACTTCTAATCCCAGAGTTCTGCTTATGGATGCCCTGGTAGGCACTGGATGATGACTCAGGTCCTGGGTGCCTGCCAGTCACATGGGAACCTGGGATTGGATTCCTGCCTCCAGCTCCAGCTTTAGCGGATCCCAGCTCTGACTACAGGCATTTTGTGGTTGAATCGGCAGATGGGAGCTCTCTGTCTCAGTTACTCAAATAAATATATTTAAAAAATAATATGTACTCCGTGACATTTTTTGTGTTCTCTCAATATTCTTTGCATATCTCTTTGAAAACATCTCACTAATTATAATTTTTGAATGTGTTTGTGGCATGTGCCTGAACCTCATGAGGGTAGAAGTTGCATTTTCTTTATTCTCACTGTATGCTTGAGTAAAGCAGAGGAGCATCCGAAGGAAGCAATTCCAACTCTCATCCAGCTTGGTTCCCAGACTTCTGATGAAGAGCAGTCAGGCAGTCCCAGGGTGAAGTTTGTGCTCACAAAAGCCATTCCAATCTGAACTTCCCCATCAGTTTCACATTTGACATGGGGAAGAGCCTTTCTTTGACAAATGTGAGCATGATGATCATAACAAATAACTTTGTGCATGATGACAGTAACAGGTGGCTTTTACTAGGTATTTCAGGTGCATTAACTCATTTAGGTCTATGTATCAGCGCCCCATTTAAGGAAAAAAGATTCAGTTTGGCTGCAGTAGAAAGCACTTATTGGTTAAGACAGGTTAACTTACTGACAGGAGACCTCTAGTGACAAGGAGTAGGGCATTCTATAACCAAAGAAAAAGTACTCTGGGCAAGTGTTTGGCATACTCACATCCCACATCAGAATGCCTCAATTTGAAACCCAGTTACCAATACATACCGCAATATGCAGTAGGGAATGGATGAGGTAGGGGGCTTCTACCACTGATGGTAGACCTGGACTGAGTTCTAGGCTTTCAGCTTTTGCCTGGACCTGCACCAGCTGTTTAGGGGCATATGAGGAGTGGTCTAGTGGGTGGGAACTAGCTGTCTCTGTCTGTTTCTGTCTTTGCTTTTCAAATGAATATAAAACATAAACAATAATCTTTAAAAAAGTATTCAATTGATTTTTTATGAACATTCCTTGTCACATTTTACTAACTTCAAAGTCATTGTCAATAAATAATCAAAAAGAGAATGTTGTCATCTTCTAAACTATTATGTTGCATTTTTGCATTTTTCTTTGCACAACTTTAAGAAAAAACTCCACTGTGTTTTTATAAGAAGAGGTATCATAGCATGAGTATCTTTTCTGTTATGGGATTTAAAGAAGAACATACCTCTATTAGTTGCACAGGCGATTTCATCAAATAGGCAAAAAACATTCAAATTTATTCTCATGGAAAGGCTCTCCAAACATGTTATCAAAACATAACTTACCACCAAATCCAGAAAATTGATCTTTGTGCTTGGTGTAAAAGGGCAGTCTACAGGGAAGAAGACTAGGCAACTGTGTGTGAGATTGGGTGTGTTCACATTTTCAAATGAGCTCTTTATGCTTTAGCAGCACTTGCAAACTCAACAGGTCTCTAATGGACTCCCGGAAAAAAGAAATACTCATTAGTTCCAACCCTAACAGCCTGAGGTCTTGAAAGTGTACAATCAAAAAGAAAATCATATGCTAAACTTCAGTTTCAAGCACTGTGCACTTTTTAAGAGCAGAAATTATAGAGGATGAAGGTATTAAGCTTCTCTAAAACTTGGAATAGTTTAAATTCCTTCCCACAACCTTCTTCCCTTGATAGACCCACTGCTTGGTCTATGGCATCAGTCAGAGGGATTTATTACTAGGGAGATTCCACAGGTTGGCAAAGCAGAATATTTATTAAATAAGTGAAGCATGTCAGTTCAAGCAACTCACCACACAGCTGCATTTCAATCACCGCTTCTGTCTACAGGAGACTGAAGTCCTCCTTATTCTTTACCCTAAAGCCATTTTCTCCAGCTGCAAACCCAGTCTCTCACCCCACCCCCCAGAAAGTATACTGGAGTCTAAAGGCAACAGAAAACAAAGGAGGCACATTTTCACCTATTGTTAGATTCGTTCAAACTCAAGTATGTGAAAACCCATGACATGAACTTCAGCAACAACAAGCCCTGGCCACAGATGGTTCCAAGACCTGCTCCCACAGTCCTGAAATCTTCTATAAAGGATAGAATTTGAGGCTTGTGGTAATTATTTCTACTTATTGGGTTCTATTCCAATCTGAATCCTGCTGCAGACAAAAATATGTCAAGAGCTTCCATTAACATACCATAGATTTTCTTTTCATTATAAATCAAACTAAATAGGTCATGATTGCTTAATCAGTATGCAAAGCGTTGCCTCTGGGAATCACACACATCCTCTGACAGCTGAAATTTTATTTAGTGCTTTAAAATCTAATTCTACCCACCCTACCCTGACCACAGTTCATAAAGCCCTCATATCAAAGTTCTCATCAGATGAGGTGTAGATCTGGCCCTGAATGAGTATGGTAAACACTAACAGCAGGGATTTACTTAAAGCAGGAAAAAATACAGATTTTGTTACTTCTAAAATATGATTAAAACCACCCCCTTTCTCCCTGTAGCCAAGAAAAAAAAAAGATTTTGAGAAAAGAAGTGCTCAGAAATGGCATGCTTGACAAACTGAACACCTTCTGCTTAAAAAGGAGATGGAGAGGCTAGTGTTGTGACATAGCCAATAAAGCCACACCTGTGTTAGGGCATCCTATATGGGCACCAATACATGTCTGGCTGCTCCACTTCCTATCCAGCTCCTTGTTAATAGCATGGGAAAAGAGCAGAAGATGGCTCAAGTCTCAGACCCCTGCCACCCAAGTGGGAAACCCAGAAGAAGCTCCTGACTCTTGGCTTTCATCAGTCTTGGCTCTGGCTATTGTGGCCCCTAGGAAGCACATCAGCCCAACAGATGAAAGATTTCATTCTCTCCTGAACTCTGACTTTTAATAAATACATATTTTTTCACAAAAGCAAAAGGAAAGTTAACTTCATTCTTGAAAGCTGCTGTGTTCATGATCATCTGTATTTCATCAAGGCCTACAGCTTTCTTTTCTTTTTTTTTTTTCCCCAGTCGTCTATTTTAGCTTTAATTTTATGATAAAATTCCATTAGCTA